CAGCTGTGGGTCCAGTGGGCAGTGAATGGATGTCTAGGGCACTGTGCTGGCTCTACAAGGCTCTATGTTTGCTCCTCAGAGAAGCAGCAGCATTCCCAACGGGAAGCTGCCCCTGGATAGCCCTCCACACGGCCTCACCTTTAAGGAGAGAGGTAAGGGGAAGGGCATCCCCAGGGGCCCTTGCTCACCTTCTGCCCACTTATTGCCTCCTCTTTGCCCCTGCCCTCCCTTTCCCTGCTAGTATGAGGGTCCCAGCCCCCTTATCTCTCACAGCACTCCTCAGTAGACCAGGGATGGTGGGGCAGGCAGGTAGTGCTCTGTGGATTGGCTTGCTCATGACTGGCTGCCTGGTGGTCCCAGTGACAGTCCCTCTGGGCGGGGCTGATGACCTAACCTGCCCTCCCCTCTAGAGCTGGAAATTTCAGACCCCGAGGACACCCCCGACTACAAAGCTGAGGGGATAAGTGGGGGCATCAAGTTCCTGGCCAGTGTCACCAAGGACACGACCTCTGACTCCCCCACAGGTGAGCACTGGGGGGTTTATGATGCCTGTCTAGCTTCACCCCTCTCCGGGTGGCCCTGCACCGAGCAGCAGGACTGCCCCACCAGGCTTGTGTCCTGGAGCTAACTAATACCAGGACAGGGATAGCTGGGGCAGGCCTGCAGCCCGGAAGGCCACAACCTTGCCTGGAGCCAGTGGCACCTCCTGCACCCTGTGGTTCCTGCACGCCCATCTGTCCCCGTCTCTCTCCTAGGAATTGATAACCCTGTGTTCTCCCCGGACGAGGACCTGGCCCATAGCCTCCTGGCCAGAATGCCGCCTTGGCTGACTCCCGAGGAGGCTGTGGTGCCCTCCCAGAGGGCCCGTGTGCAGATCCCCCACTCTCCAGGCAACTTCCGCCGCCTGGCACCCTTCCGGCTCAGCAACAAGTCTGTGGACTCCTTCTTGCTGGCCGACAGCCAGGGCCAGTCCACACACATGTAACACACATGTAAGGCACTTAATGAATGCGCTATCTACTCGGGTTTCTCTCCTCAGTCTCTCTCCCAGGTCTCTCTCCTCAGTCTCTCTCCCAGGTCTCTCTCAATCTCTCTCCCAAGTCTCTCTCCTCAGATCTCTCAGGTCGCTCTCCTCTGATGCTGGCTCCGTGTTGCTTTCTCTGCCTCTGGCTCTTACAAAGTTGTTTCCCCAGCAGCCTTCCCTCCTTCTAGAACTATCTTAACAGGTGGAGCACACTTCCTAGGAGACTCCACTCACAGGTGGTGGGAGCCCCACTCAGGGCTAGTAGGGATGTCAGGAGGGACCTGTGGAGTCCAGGAGAGGAGCCTGAGTTCCTGACCCTCACAGGTGGAGCGGGACTGGCCAGCCACATGGCACAGCACCACAGTGGTGTCTCCTGGGTCACACCCTGTGGTGGGGGTGCACATGGCCAAGAAGAGAGCAGGAGGCAGAAAGGGGAGTGGGCAAGGATGCCAGTGGGGCTGCTGGAGGGGGTCTTGCTAGACAGGGGGAATTCAGGTGGGGGGACCACATGGCCCTTCCAGCCTTGGGATCCCCTCACTCCGCTGCCACGCGCCGGCCCCTTGGATATCCGAAGGACAGGGACGCGACTGGAGTGGGGTCCGCGCCTCACGTCCGGTCCCACCCCATAGGTGACACGGGTTCCGACACGCCGCTGACGGGACACTCATCCCCGCGCCGCTGGCAGCCCAATGCCGAGAAGCCCCCTCTGCCCGCGCAGCTGCCGCGCCCTCTGGCCGCGAGCCCGACTCTGCCCGGGCCCGGTGACCCCGCTCCATCCACCCGCGAGCCGGGGCCGGAACGCAGGGCGCTGCCCGGTGCGCACGCACGGTCGGCGGCGGCGCGCCGCGTGCACAGCCGGCGCTCTTTCCAGCGGCCCCGCGCGCGTCGCCGCCCTGCGCTGCTCAAGCTCGCATCGCTGCCGCCGCTAAGCCCATCGCCGCCACTGACGCTAGAGCAGGAGGAGACGCCTCTGTGAGAGCGTCCAGGGAGCAATTCCCGACACAATGGGTACCGAGGACCCTAACTCTGGGTTGGGAGGGATTCTGCACCAAACAGGCTTTGGCACATCCTAAGCTGACCACCCACCCTTCCCATCCCCGGAGCCCATGTCACTTCTGTGCTTGAATGAGCCCAGCAGACAAACTGTACTCTGACGCACCCAGGCTGGAGCAGGGGTTGGGATGGTGGCAGTGTTCTGAGCTGTGCCACCGGACCCATGCCCGCTTCCCACCCTCTCTGGGCTCTCAGCAGCATGACCTGCAACAGAGAACTGGCAGCTCGCTGTCCTCAACTGCTTTCTGGAGGGTTTGCCTGGGGCCGCCTCCCACTTCACCACTAGAGTTCTGGAGTCACTCTGCTCTTTACTCAGGAAAGCCAGCTCCTTACTGAGACTTTTGTGCTGAGTGACTGTGGTGATGGTGGTGGAGGGGCAGCTAGTCGTAGCACACCAAGTCCCTGGTGGAGCAAGCTCCACTTCCTGCCCAAACTTTGCAGTTGGTCTGCTGGTCCTTGGACCCGGCGCCCTGGCATCCAGCTCCAGCAGGCTGTCCTCATGCTTTCTGGTCCCTCCTGCTGGCTCTGAGGCACCATGGCCTCCTTCCAAGTGCCTGCCTGGCATGGGTCAGAAGAGTGACCACAGCACAGTCAGCTGGCACTACTTGCTGATGCTGCAGTTCCTGTGCCCTGCAACTGCCATGTGGTTAAATGTTCAGCTCCCATGTCTGGAGTGGTCAGCGTGTCTGTGTGAACCACCAGGCTGAGCAAGACCCCCACAGAACTTTAGCTCTGTAAGGACAACTGCCCAGGAGCTGCTGTCTCACATGCATAGATGCAGCAGGGAGGGCTCAGCACATACAGACAGGGATTAGTATATACACACAGGGCTTAGCATACACAGGACTCAGTACATACACATAGGGCTCAATACACACAGGGCTTGGTATATATACACACATGTCTTAGCATACAGGGAGGGCTCAGGACACACAAGGCTTGTTACACACATAGGGCTCAGTACACACAGGGCTTAGCATACACAGAAAGCTCAATACACACAGGGCTTGGTACACACAATGCTTAGTACCACCCACAGGGCTCAGTATACACACACAGAGACACAACTGACACTGGTTGCATTTCACAGATGAAAAGCCTTGTTGCCAATATTGTAAAACAGAATGCAAACAGTTTCATGAATGTATTTCCTTAGGAAACTGCTGTAAAGTTTTTATTAGGGAGGAATATTTATTTAATGCTGAACTTCGGCCTACTTTGTGGTAGACTGTGAAGTACACAAACGTAGGAAACCACTACTCTCACTTGTGATTTTCTTCAAATTAACTTGCTACAGTGCTCACCATACTGTAAACAGTCGGTCTGTAGTCAAAGGAGATTTACAGCAACAAGGATATCAAGAGCAGAGATAAAGTGTATTCTAAGTGATGAGTAGTGAAAACTGTTAGTTCTGTAGGTGTAACCAGAATCCTAATAATAAAATTGTGCCTTAAAGTACCCTGAACATGCAGCAGCTACTGTGCCTGCACCATCAAACCTGTGTGAGGTGTCCTGTGTTCAAACTGTCAAACAAGGAGTCCCTGGGAACCAGAGAGGTGCAGTCTCCTGCACTGCCAGCCATCAAGTGGGCATGCTGGGAAACAGTCCCTCTGTGGGACTCTGCTCAGAGGAGAGCAGCAGTCAGGAGCTCCAGGGTGCTGTTAGAGTCGTGGACTGGGGTCAGAGTGGGAGGCTCAGATACCTTAGGAACCAAAGTAAGCAGCCCGCAGTAGCAGAGAGGGGGTCCAGAGCCTGGGTGGCCACAGGGGCTTTCTATTGGGTTAAAATGGAGTAGGACCCTGACAGCCATGCCTCTGTCCACGTAGAGCCTGACCTCTGCAGGTGGTCAGTCCTTCATGTCCACCTGCCCATCAGAGTGGTGTCTGTACTTATAGCCACTTCAAAACTGACATGAGGAGACCACCACAGGAAAGAGTCACAAGAAGTGCCTTTTGGCAGCCTAGAATCAGGGTGCTGGAGGCCTCACCCAACCCTGCTAGGGTGGACTTCACCTCTGCTGCCATCGCTGTGAGGAAGGGCTGGGCACAGCTGGCTCTTCTTCTGGGCCACACCTGGTGGCTGGAACCCCAGAGAGCTGAAAGTATAACCCCTGCACCGAGTGACAAGGGCCCACGCCCAGGGCATTGTCTACCTTCACCTCAGCTCCCCTCCATGTTCCCACGCAGGCAGTAGGCTCTGGCCTTTGCCTGCAGGCAACCCCTGCTGGGTAGAGAGAACCCGGAGCCTCCAGTCCATCCGTGCTTCAAGTGGACTGTTGGGCTTTGAGGTCCTATGAGCCCCAGGGAGAGCCTAGCATGATAGCCAAAAGTCAGTAAGGACAGGACACACCATACCTTTGTGCTGTCCCTCGATGTGTCCTTTCAGAGTGACCAGTACCAGGCTCTCACTGCTGACAGGACAACAGTTGTACTCACCATGGCAGGGCAGGCTGCTAGCGTGCAGAATGCCTCTAACAGGATCCCTCTTCCCTAGCCTGGGGAGGTTCTTCACGGGGCTAAGGGGGAGCATTCAAGGACTGCATTAGCTGGACCTCATCCCTGCATCAGTAACTGCCATGAATTACACCCAGCAGCCAGCACACAGGCCATGAGGTTACAGTGATGTGGGCATCCCATGTCAGCACTGGTTCAAGTCCCAGTGGCTCAACTTCAGATCCAGCTCTCTGTTAATGGTCTGGGAGAGTAGTAGAGTTTGGCCCAACTACTTGGGGCTCTGCTGTCCATGTGAGAGATCTAGAAGAAGCTCCAGCTCCTGGTTTTGTCTTGGCTCAGCCCTGTGGCCACTTGGGAGTAAACCAGGGATAAGAGATCTCTCCTTCGGTTTCTCCCTCATTCTGATGCTCTGCCTTACAAATAAACCCACCTTCAAAGACAGACGGGAATAAGCCAAACTTAGAGATGGATGCATCCACACAGATTTTTATCTGAATTTGCACTTGACAGCACTCATCTATCCACATAACCGGCCTGGCTGGGACCCTGTGCCTAGATGCCAGAAGAGAGGAGTGGGTTCCTTATCTACAAAAAAAAAAAAAAAAAAAGACCGGGGCAGCAGGGTGTCCTGCAGTTAGGCTGTGAGGTTCGCTGGTGACCAGCACACACAAGTCAGGGGATATGAGCAGAAAAGAGGCCATTTTGATTTCAGACTTCTGACTGGGATCCTCAGGTGGGGTAGGGAGGGGGTAGAGGAGGTGAATCCAGAGCCTGAAGCAGTCCCACCGTACACCAAACATTCCTTGAACCCCACTGCAGGGCCAGAGGGGACACCCTGGCCCCACAGCTTGGGCAGAGGTGGCGACTGTCGATCTGGGGGCGGGGCAAGGCTATGCAGATGGGTGGGCAGCCTGTAGCTACTTGAGGAGCTTGGCCACATTCAGGCTGGGCACCATGATCTCTTTGAAGATGGGCACATAGCTGGGGTTGGCCTGTGTGGGGCCCTGCTCCAGTGTTTCGATGATGGTCTGCTTCATGTCTCGGCTGGCGTCCCCCCGCATAGCCAACAGGGCACCAATGTGATCGTCCCTGTTGAGGAGACAACAGTCCATCCATGCACACCCCACAGGCCCCAGGGCAGAAATGACACCACATACAAAATACTCCTGAGTCTGCCGAGGTCTCCACCCAGAGGACCCTGGAGCTCAGAACCCAGTCCTGTCCCTTTGCAGGGCGGTGGAGTGAGAGATGCTGTGGCCTTGAGAGCATCCACCGAGCTTACCACATGCCTCCTGCTACAGGGCTGGGTCAGGCCTGGAGGCAGCACCACTGATGGAGGTGTGCCACATCTGTCCCTTAACTATTAGGACTCTACTTTCATGGCTCTGGGACCTCTAAGGAGGTTCCCGGAGTTCCTGGCTCAGCCCCTTCCTGGGGTTCAACCTGTTCCCCCTGGACTGTCAGACCTATGCCCATCTGCAGGTGTGTGAGCCTGGGACAAAGATCCTAGCAGCCTTGGGCAGGGCTAGTGGATGCCACACACACACCCAGGGCATGGAAGAGCTAGAAAGTAGCAGTGGCTTGGCTGCCTTGTTCCGAGGGGCTGTGACCACATACCTGATATCTGGGTACTTGCTGACCAGAGTGGAGACCTCCAAGTACAGCAGGGATGGGTCTGTCAGCTTAATCACTTCAGCCACAGCTACGATAGTGTCGCAGTAGCCATCTACATCTTCCCCAAATCCCTGGATGACAGCAGGATGACATGAGGGACACATCTCCCTAGTTGCATGGTCAGATGCCTTTCTGGCCAGCATCTCTCTTCTACAATCCCCTCACAATCCACCCCAAAGGCAGGGTTGATGGGTGGGTCTTCTGGGACTACTGAGAGGACTGGGGGCCTAGGGTGAGGTGAGCCAGACACATCCCTGCCTGGCTGAGGGGTCCAGTCAGAGGGTGGCAGCCAGCCTCAGAACTGAACTGAGTGGCAGACAGGGGAGGGGGAAAGATACCCAGAGTGCACCAGCCTCTGTAGTGGTGACCCCTGACCTTCCTACCACAGGACAGGGTAGGAGGGGCCAGGCAGAGAATGAGCTCATGCTGCCCCCGCAGGGTGGCACTCACTGTTGCCAACTTTTGGAACAGGAAGCGCAGCTGCTCCGCTTCTCGCACCATCTTCTCAGCACCCTCTTTTCGCTCCTCAGCGCTGCGGAAGGAGATGCGCTTCTGCATGACTGCACGCAGGTACTCCACCACCACACGCCGGTGCGCCTCGGCCGTCATCCTCTGCAGAGAGGAGGACAGCCCAGTCACCTCCATTGATTTCCAACCTGCTCAAGGTGTCACTGTGGCCACCTGGCTGCAGGGAGACCTGAGGGTGCTGTCTTTGTGGAAGCCAAAGCTACAGCCCCATCCTCAAATGCAAAGATCCCAGGTCTGTGGTTGTCCTTACAGGCATGTGGGGTGGATGCCTGCCTGACACCAGTGCCTACAGGCTCATGGTCCTTCCCTGAGCAAATTCCAGTGTCTGGGCTCTGTCCCCACAGGCAATAGTGGACCTCTGAGGATTGTATCCTAACACCTGGCTAGGGCCCTTACTTGGGAACCCTGGGGACACACACGGGGAGGGACCAGCAGCACCCAAGTCCTTGTATGGTTCCATATCCAGAGCAGGGGCAAGCAAGCACAGAAGATGGGCAGGGCTTGGGGGAGAAGACTAGTGACCCAGCAGAAGGAGAGCCAAGAGGGCTGTGGCCATCGCGCTGATTGGGGCAGAGGCTGTTACTGAGGGGCGTGTTACTGGCCAAAGTTCCTCTGGATGCAGGGTGGACTGCTCCCTCCCAAGGCCTTTGCTGAGAGAGGCGCAGCCACATGGGGCAGAAGGGGATGCCTTCCCATGGCTACAACCTGGCATTGCGAACAGACAGAGAGACGCGCACAGTGAGGGCCTCTGGGAGTGTGGACACGGCCCTGAGCTCGTGACTGAGGAGGACACTCAGGTAGGTTAGTAGCTGTGGTATAAGTCAGGACCCTGGGGAGAGGCAATGACAATTCACACTGCATTCTTTGCTTGTGATGGCTTCACCTTTCTGTCGCTGACACCTTTAGGTTGACTGGCCAGAGCAGCACACGAGAAAGAAAATGGCACCAGGCCACCCACCAAAGACCCTCAGGGCAGAGAGGCTAAGGAGACTTGGGCATTGGAAAACTCAAGCATTACCCACTTAGAAACCATTTCCCACCTGGGAAGCCCCAAGTCCATGCCTCAAACAGGAACAGATGACTCCAGCCTCACAGGAGGGAGGCTGCCCCACCTCACTGGTCAGATCACCACAAGCTCAATGAGAAGGCCAGTGGGAGACACAGGCCACTTGCAGACATGCACATCTGCAGACAGAAGGATCCTAACATAAGGGAGCAAACCCATGAAGAGCTGAGTAGAATTTGTGAGCTGAATAACACAGAAGCAAGCACTATGCATGTTACTGCCCCAGCTGATCGCCCACGGGAAAGACCCGTCAGATTCTCCAGCAAGACAGAAAAGGGCTTCTGCAAACACTCCACCCCAGGTCACAGCTAAAACTGCCACAAACCCCAGGTCACTGTCAGAAAACAGAGGCAGTTTGAAGCAAAGGTGTTCAACATAACCTCACACTAAACTTCCTTTGTTTCTCATACAAAATGAGAACAGGATCACAAAGCCATGGAGGTGACACTTATCTTGTTCACATTTGTCAATCATCCTTCACGGTCTTGCACAAAATCACAGAAATAAAACACACAGGCTCCTCAACTGAGGAGGGCAAGACCACCCCGGGGATGGGTAAGAAGTGGTCTCAGGGAAGCCATGGCCACCATGGGACAATTACGTGTGTGCAGGGGGCTCACTGCTCCTACCTCCAGCCACTCCTCTGGCTTTGGCTGCGTGAATCCCAGTGCTCATCCCATGCTGGCCTTGGCACCAACTCCTACCTACCAGGGAATCCTACCACAGGGCCAACTGGTCCCCTGTCTGTGGCTGTCCCTCAGGACCACCTCAGTCAACCCGGGTCCAAGTAGGAGGAGCCCTGGTAGTGACCAAACCAGAATGTAAATATAGTGCACAACGAGCACACAACCCACTCAACACACCTGGATGACAAAACATGTGTGCAACACACGAGCATACGACCCACTCAACACACCTGGATGACAATATGTGTGCAACACACAACATGCATGCTCACAAATTTTGCACATATGATTATGATACACAGTGTACTTTGCATGCAACAAGCATACAACCCATATGATTCACATGTAACATGTACACAGCATTATGCGCATACCACATACATCTTCGCACACATGTACACAGCACATATTCCTACACTCAATGTACACTGCATATTCTCATAACACACCTTTTATAGTCCACCTAAGCTGGTCAGTATATAACACCCAATCTCCCTGTAGGAGGTAGGTCAGGACACCCACTGGTTGCGTTTCTGAGCCAGTATGAGAACAAGTGGGACAAGGAAGGACAGGAAGGTATGACCACTGGCAGTGAGAACAGCACCTGCATCCCCCACACAGAGTAACAAGCCATCATGTGGGTTCCTAAAAGAAGCTGGAGGCAGAGCATGCAGAGTGTGGGGTACCACAGGCAATAGCTGGGCCCTGCTCTGCCTACATACCATGGCAGAGGGCTTTGAGTCAGTTCCTGCCTCTGCCTTCCCACCCAGCTTTTCCAGGTTTTGGCTCAAGAACCTCAGTCTCTGCCATCTACCTAGCTCCCAGCATCAGCCTGGCCTGGCCTGGCACTGTTGCTGACACTTACGGAGTGACCCAGCAGAAGGAACAGCTCCCTAATAGGTACAACCACAGCTGCAGCAACTAAAGGACATGCGCAAGGCGTGGGGCCCCAAGGCAGCACATTCAGTCCCTTCCCAGCCCATGTAGAGTGCAGATAGGCCCTGGGGGGCCTGCTGTGGCCAGCAACACTGCAGCCCCTGCTGCTGGCAACTCTGGCCCAGGGAGACTGGGCAAGTGCTGCACATCTTCACAGTCGTCTTCTCTACAGGCCGAGGCCAACACTGGTGTCCTAAACCTAGTCTTACCTTCTTATATGGTTTTTTGATTTTGGCAAAATCGTTGAAGTAATCTTCCACAGTAACACAGATGATGTCCACAGCATTGGAGCCTAGGAGCCACTTCTTGGTCATGAGTTCGTTTAGATGTTGCTGCAAAAAGCATGTCATAGGATCAGACCCAAAAGGCACCCAACAGCCAAGCGTCTGGGGGGCTGTGCTCAGGTACCTCTGCCAGGTCCACTCCCCTACAGTGCCACACACACTCATCACGTATGTTGTGTGTACACTACCTACAGCTTGGGATGGGTTTCATGAAATCACACATCAGACATGCAGTTCTCTGTGATGTGACGTGTAAACTCCATGTATGCTGCTTCACACACTATGGCTCTGTTACATGGGCACATTCTCTACCTAGGGGTGTTTAGTCCTCACCATCCAGCTGCGAACAGAGCCAAAGAGAGTCTGAAATGCCACTTCCAAACTGCTCCCAGACTGCCAATACAAGGCACTCCCTTGCCCTCAGCAGTACCTGGCAGCCAGCCTGAAGTTGCCCTTCCTCAGGGCCAGGATATGTCATTCCCTTTCCTGAGAAGGGACCCATCCAGTTCTGTTTTTTCATGTTCAGGAGCAAGGTCCTTCAATGTTTAGAACAGATGCAAGCACACAGGTCAGTTCACCTGCATTGCCCACCTGGCCAGTGTGTGGTGTGTACTCTTCAGGGCAGGACAGCAGGAGGGAGAGCCTCACCTACCTCCAGGTCCAGGAAGACCTCCTCCAGCAGGCTGCTGCAGCCCTCCTTTGCAATGGCATCTAAAATCCCATCCATGTTGGGCTGACTTGGAGCCATACCCTCCTCCACCTCACTCTTTAAGTACTTTTTCTTTAAACTCACGATGGACTCCCTGCAAAGAACAATCCAGGGTCCAGGGGCGGCCGGGCACGGTGGCTCAGTGGCTCACCCTGCCCGCCCCAAAACACTCACTTGAACGTCTGACAGTTGTTGATGACTGCGATCATGTATTGCACGTAGCAGTGCGGGTGCTGCCGATTCCTCAGGTGCTCCTCCTTGTACAGCTGAGCCTCTTCCCGATATCTGAGGATACACAGTCCCAGGTAAGTCGCACTCTGGGCACCATGCTGACCCATATCCCCAGTGACTGACCAGCTCCCCTCTTATGTCGGCCTGGTACCTTCATCATGAGAACAATCTGAGGTTTCTGTGAGAACTTCAGACAGCTTGGCCCAACTTTATCTCATACACAATTCAACTAGAAACTCCCAACAGCATTGGGACACTCATCAGCTCAAACGGAAGCTACCAGGCCCCATTCCAAAGCTGTCTTTGCAGACAGACTCTAAACCCCACGAGAATTGGACAGTGGGTGCTATGGAGGTACTTGGCTCAGAGCGTGAGCCAGCTGTACGCTGGTGACTGAGCAAGGAGCCAACCAGGCAGCTCCACTGACAGCATTGAGGTTGTTCTCATAGAAGACCTCCTCATCACATGCTACCTCTGAGCAATGGTCTCAGGGGACCTGGGCCCCACCTACTGATAGACAGAAAGTGTGGGTGAGGCCTGACCATCGGCACTCAAGCCCTCAGGCCAGATGGGCAGACAGTGTCCTGACAGACTGCACTGTGAGCACACGCCAATAAATATACCTCCAAGGCTGCCTGCTGATGTGTGGGCAGCTGGCAGGATGAGGCCCATACCAAGGCGACAAAATACGCACACCATACACTCAGCAACCAGTGACTTTGAGGGGGAGGGACTGCCTGCTGTGCTGGAGACCCAGGGACTTCATGGCTAGCTGCATGCAGATTGGTTGAGTCTGTCTGATGCATGGTATCTGGGACAGCTGGGAGAGTAAGCTGCACTTTCATAGGAGTTGGTGGCACTGCTGTGATAAGAGAATGAGAGGGGTAGAAGGTGTGGCTGGCTTGGAAACATGGTACTTATATATAGCTCTTCCCACCAAACAAGATGCTAATAACACACAGGCTGAAATCTGCTGCACAACAGCTGAAAGGAACAGCAGCCGGTGGGGAACTGGCCCACTCAGACCCTCTGTCCTTTGGGAGGGTGCCAGTCTCACCTTCCATGGTTCAAGGACATAAAGCATCAGCTGAGGGAGAGGTGCTGCCACTGTCAGTACCACTATGCAATTGGGCACTGAGAGAAGTATGTGCTGCGCCCATCGTACCCACAGGAACCTGTTGGGTCCACAGCACCCACCACAGCAGGAGGGGGGCCACTTAACCTGTAGTTTACAACCAGAGTCAGCACATTTGCTTTTAACTTTTAGAAACATAACCTTTAAATTACACAGTGGCAAAAATACATACCTACTTAGGAAAGAATTCATTTGCTGAAGACACAAAACTAGCACCTTTGTTTTCAATTCTTCACTTATCTGTGCAGCAACTTGAAGGTTTTGTTCAAACATCTAAAAATTAGAGAACTTGTAAGTTCTGATGCAACCACAGACCTGCTCACAGGTGGTTTTTTTTTCCCACTGCACACAAACTTCACCCACTACCTGGTGGAGAACATGAAACTATCCCCAAAACAGAGTAAGACAGTTAATAGCTGACATAAGGGCTGACAGGGACTGCACAGGGGTGACATTGGGTGCTGGACTTGAGGCTGGCACCTGGAGCTTCCAGGCTGTTCCTGAGAGTAATTCAATTTCCAGAACTTGGTAATGGAATTCATAGGAGCCAAGAAGCAAATACTGCAGCTGGGCTTAGGGACACAGTGAGGAGTTGGGGGCAGACTCATCCAGCCCTGCTCACCCAGCATCTGTCCTGACTGCAAAATAAGTGAGTGCTGAGGTGCTGTGTCACCTGAGGACAGTGCCCACTGCCCATGTAAACCCCCTCAGCAATGCCACTCAAGGAGAGGAAGCCACACAAGTAGGTGACCAGCGAGCTACAAGAACACAGGGTCATCGAACCCCAGCACTGGGACCAAGTGCAGAAAGCGCCTTGAACATTGAAGGCATCTCTCACACAGAATCCCTAAGGACAGGAGCAGGAAACAGTACTCAGCAGCCCACCCATGCTCCTCAAGCCTGTAGGCCTAGAACATCACTTGGGTGGGGAGCAAAGCCCAGCTCCTTCAGCCCTGTGCAAGACTGGGAGGCAGCGGGTACCCAGCACCAAAATGGGTCCTGGTTTGTTCCTGGACTCGTCAAGGGAAGACCAAGTGTGTGACACCAGAGTCGGGTGTGCTCTGTGTGTATCCGATCCGTCTATGAGACACACAGATCCCTCGACCACCCAGGACTGCACCTGGAAGACGATGGCAGGGAGCGTGGTCTGGTAGTATCCATCCTGGTCAGCCTCAGGTTCTGTCTCTTTGCTCCAATCCTTCTTGTCTGTTTCCAGAGCTTTACGCAACCAGGCGATGATGTTGGACTGGAGGAGGTGCCATTGGGAAGAGGACAGGGGAGTGAGTAGCTGCATGGATCAGACCCAGCATGTCCAGAGCCCTGGCCCCCTTGACCTCAGTGATGACCAATCTCAGCTTCAGACCAGAGCCTGGCAATGGGCTCATGCTAAAGGACCAAGCCATGGGGCAGCAGGCAGCCTATCAGGCTCAGTGCATCCACCATCAATCACCCCCATCGCTTCACTCCTGACAGGGGACACAGCTCCACTCCCAGACCCTCAGCACACTGTGTTGCCTCACTGTGGGTGCCATAGGTTCAGTACTTATCCGCATAAAGTCTTGAATTAGCAATACTGGAGGCAAGACAGTTTGAACATGGTACCTGGCATGACCACACTGGGCTGTGAGTGGACATCCACATTCACACGGACATGATCACACTGTCTGAGGCTGCGAGGGTCACCCATGACCGAAGTCCACCAAGACTGACACATAAGTGTGCATCTCATCTCTGGCCATGTGGCTCCCGAAACTGCCTTGGCACTCACCTAGCAGCAACACATGGTAGGGCTGAGCCAGTGTGGTCTGTGTCTAGATGTAAAGCTCTAGAATCATGAGCCCAACCAAATGCCTTTTCTTCCTAAGGAAGTAGCATCAGGTATTTCCTCACAGTAGTCAGAAACTGAATCACACTTGGTCAGAGCCTCTCTGACCCTGTGTTCCTAAGACTGCCCACACCAGCAGATGACATGCATGCTGTCCTACTGTCCCCTACTACCACCCTCACTGTGACTCAGCACTAAGGCTCTGGCAGGCACCACCAAGTGCAGTCCAGACACCCAGGGTCACTTCAGACCTAGCTTGGTCTGCTCTCCCCAGCTGACAAGCAGTGGTCATTTCCAGACTCAGATAAAACTGTGGCAGCAGAGATCACGCCCAGTGATATGCATCAGCCTGGAATGCTCACTCCTCCCCGTTTGGGACCCCAGGACGGTCAAACCCCGCCATGGGACTATGACCACACTACTCACGGTGAGGGTTGACATGTAGGTGTCCAGCAACTCTGAGACTACATCTGGGGAAAGTAAAGGTTGCAGTGTATGCACGTCTACTTCCGGGGCCAGCTCCGGGTTCCCCATCATCTCTGCACTGCAATGAGACCAGTAGTGGGAACCACAGGTCAAGGGACACAGACAGGACACTCCCAGTCCTGTCCAGGATCTGACTTTCTGACTCACATGCCCACCACCTGTGCAAGACAAGCCCAAAGACAGTCCTGAGCCCAGCAGCATCCCCATGCGGGCATGGCTGCCTCTGCTGCTCTAACCTGGCCCTCAGGCCTGCGTGCTGGCCTCACAGGAGGCAGCCCTGTGTAGGTGAGCTGTGTGTTCAAAAGCACACTGATTCACCAAGAAGACAAAAAGCTGCCGGACACCCCTGAGGTTCAGACCACAGAGTCTTATGGACACATACGTCCCTGACGCATTACCCACCACACACCGAGTGGGCAGTTTCAGGAAGGGAGCCTCAGCACAGATAGTCGAGTGAGGGCAGTAGACTGTGGTTCCTGGGGGAGCATTTACACCTCTGGTCAATGGTGCTGCAGAGCCCCAGCACCCAGGATTAAACTGCTCCCTACTCACAGCTGTGAATTCGACCCTTCCCCATCCACTGACGGGGAGTGGGCGTGGGGTGTCACTGGGTAACTCATAGCAGATCCTGGAGCCAGGTGTGGTCAGCCAGAGGGGTGCCTTGTGCTGTCGCTGTGACGAACTGACACTTAGACTCTCCCAAGGTGATGCCCAGCCAGGAAGGTCTGAGACCCAGGGCTGGGTCCTAAGCCCAAGGAACCCACAGGTGGACCAAGGAGAAAGCAGACAGTGCAAGAGGGCCAGGTAGCCCTGCTGCAGCCACGAGTGGCATCACCTGGTATAGGTGTTCAGCACCCAGGTCAGCAGGCTCACAATCTCGTTGGCCTCCAGGTCCTCAGATGCCAACTCCTGCATGCGTGTGCTCAGGGCCTGGTGGTACATGCGCAGGAGGCTCCTGAAGATAGCGTAGTGGGGAGGGAAGCACTGGGCCACTAGGTTCTTGGCCACCACCAGGTCATCCAGCACGTACTTGCGCACAATCTCCAGGTGGCGCACCAGCCACATCTTGTCTGATTCCCGAGTGTCTGCCTGGGTGCCCTCAATTCTGGTTGTCACAGTTCTCTCCAAGATGGCAAACATCTTCTCCTTCCAGTTTTTGGGTCTCCCAGGAGGAACAAAGCCAGTCTGCTTCTTTCGGTCCAGGATGCGCCTGTCAATCTTTTCTTCCCTCTCAATGATCCTGACCACAGATACCAGCAGGGTGGGGTCCCGGCGGACGGTGACGAGCGACCTCTGCAGCACCATCCACAGCTGCTTGGCCAGCTCATCTGAGAGCCCCTGTGTGCTGCCGAAGTACCCGTGGATGAGGGTCATGTCACGTGTGTTCCCGCTGTCCATGCGGAACTGTTCGTACATGAGTCCATCCCGTGAGCACTCCAGGTCCATTAGCTTGCGGTGCGCCTGCAGGAGGGCCCCCTGCTCAATCAGGTCCTGGGTTTCCCGCACAATCTCGGGCACTGGGTGGGAGAGGACACAAGCACACCGTCAGGCTGCAGGAGGGTTGAGCAGGTAAGGGGTGAGGCCTGGACAGCCCTTTCCAAAGGGGCAATATGTAGGCAGGACCTGGGAGGAAGCAGCAAGCTCTACACAATGCACTACACACAGCGTCCATTCTGAGACGGTCTATGCAGCACACTGCGTGAAGCGTACGCTCTGAGACCATCCACAGCACACTGCACACAGTGTCCACTCTGACACCATCTACATAGCACACTGCACACAGCATCCACTTTGAGACCCTTTACATAGCACACTACATGCAACGCTATGAGACCCTATGGCCTCTGCCCAGCCACAGGGCTCCAAGGGCATGAAAAACAGTGAGCAGCAAGATTGTCCATCCTGGGGCCCCCATTTCTGGTCTCCCTCACCCACCCACTGAGCCCAGCCACTAGCCAGGGTACCTGAGAAGATGTTCTTGAGGTTTTCCACAGCTGCGGCCAGCTGGCTGTGCTGAACTACGGCATCCTTCACATCCCTGAGGCTCTCGATCGTGTTGATGCTCTGCCTCCAGTCCTTGCTGACGTCCACCAGTGACTGCTGGATGTCCTGCACGTCCTTTAGGGCATTGTGGAGCTGGCTCAGACCTGTGCGCACCCCGTCCAACTGTGACTGGATTGCAGCCTAGGGAAGACCCCTTCCAGTGAACAGAGCCAGTGACATCCACCAACTACTCCCCAATGGGCAAACCCTCCCCAGGACACTCAGCTACCGATGACCTGTCTGAGTGGAAGAAACAATCACCACCAGAAAGAAAGCGCCAATCTGGTACCAGGTGACCTAACAGCCACTTCCCTTTTAGTCATGGCTGGAGCAGAGCAGTGCCCCACCACCTGCTAACAACAGATAGCACCATGGGACCATCTCAGACACTAACTATAATGCACTCCACCCCAGGCCTGGCTCACATGACATCATTGGGATACCCTGGGTCCATCTCCTGGGGTGAGGAGATGCAGGGACTGTTTCAGCTGAGGCTCCTGCCACTTATCCAGGATGGGGAGGAACTGCTCCTACGGCACAGCTTTGCAATGGGTGCCCCAGGATCATTGTGGCCCCCAATGTCTCCATGTCAGTCAGTCCCATGTCTCCATGCAGACACAGACTTGGCTGTCTCCATGTCACCACGATATCAGAGACACACACTCAGCTGTCTTCATGCCAATACGATATCAGTCAGCCCAATGTTTCCATGGCAGAAATACATTTGGCTGTCTCTGTGTCACCATGACAATGGTCAGCCCCACACTACCACAGGGACACACACTCAGCTGCCTCCATGTCACCACAATGTTGGTCAGTCCCACATCTCCATGGAGATACACACACAGCTGTCTGCACACAAGTTGACCCCACCCTGGTTTCTGAGCAGCGTGTGCTCACTGCCCAGCCAGTGTGAGCGTGCTGTCCAGTTCACACTGTCCTCATGGTGGGTCAGGTCCATGCTGGTAGCGGCAAGCCATGCTCTGAAAGCTTACAGTTCTCTTAATGTGCCTATTTCAGGAAATCTCCGCCTCTTCAGAGCAGTTAGGCTGAAGCCAAACCAAATCACAAGACACCTTTTCTGCTCTCACATATGCCTCACAAAGCCTGTCTGGGCACAGCAAGGTATAGCATCCAATTAAGTAGCACTGTCATCCCACAGGGGCATTGGTTCATGTCCTGGCTGCTTCATTTCTGGTCCAGCTCCCTGCTCATGTCCTGGGAAAGCAGTGGAGAGTGGCCCCAGTGCCTGAAAGACCCGGATGGAGTTCCATGCTCCTGGCTTCTGCCTGGTTCCGTCCCAGCTGTTGCAGCCATTTGAGGGGTGAACCAGGGGATGAAAGAGCTCACCCTCTCCCTTCTGTAACTCTGCCTTTCAAATAAATACATTAATCTGGAAAAAATAAGTAACTAAGTGTGCTGCTCTTCCTCTGCCCAGAACCAGCAGAACCTAACACACTCAGTCCAGGGGTCTGGTTTTCTCTGCAAACCCGATAGTGCATGATGGTGCCTCATCATGCGGAAGCTCAGCTTTGCCCTCCCACATCCTGAGCTCACGCTGGCACTGTCAAGCAGGCATCAAAGACTTAAGATGCTGAAGTGGACGACTATGACCCCACGGCCCCTACCTTGAGCCTGGCCTCCACCGAGGCCTTCTTCCGGGCCTCTCTCCTGCGGTACTGCTGTACTTTGTCCAGCTGGTCTGGCCGCTGCAGCATACCAGCCACCCGCTGGACTGCGGTGGCGACAGCTTCACGGTCTGTCTCCTTCATGGTTTACCACCAGACAGGGACTCCACTCTGCTCATACCAGAGGTGCCTATGGGCACAGAGGGAAAGGGGTCAGGCACAGGACATATTCCCGATACAGTCCATGGTGCCACAAGGAACGTGTCTGAGGGAACCCAAGAAGTACAAACTCTCAGAGCTCCAACTCAGGGACAGCTTCACCTTCATATGCAGAAACTCATGGATGACCCCACTTCCCACACAGGCCCTCAAAGGCAGAGGTACACCCTCATGTGTAGACTCAGCCACCCGCCCCCATCTACCTCACCTGTGAGAGGCCCAGAAGGACTACCTTCTCAGAAACTTCCACTCCCCAAGCTCCCCACCCAGACAGACATGGACACCCAGACAGAGGTCCACTACAGGACCCTCCCTGTCACTCCTCTCCCAGGATGCCCCCAACTCTGACACAGGCATCTTCCAAAAGCACACATGATGGGAAGGCCCAACCACTCCAGGAGCACCTGTCCAGGCGGACAGCAATAACCAGCTCACTTGGAACCGGACAGCAAAACCAAATGGGGGCCACCCAGGTGCCCATGAGTCTCCCAGGACAACCTGAACACGGGTTATAGTCTCTAGGAGTGAGACAGAATCTCAGTCCTGGGGTCCCTCCACACTCCCTACCCATGCCCACGGAGGAGACACAGCATGGGCGCGGGGACAGTCTGCTGGGGAAAACCTAGGTTGAGGGGAGGCCTGGGCAGAGATGACACCTGGGCCGGGGGAGTCCCCACCCAGGAGTCCCGGCCCGTCTACCACCGCCCCCACTTCCCCGGGATGGGACAGCGAGGGGCGGGTCCGGCGAACACAGACCGGGGACCGCAGGCCTAGAGAACCGACGACACCTCACCGACTGCGCCGCTCCCGTCACCGCCTCCCGGAACCGATGGGAAGTGGACGCTGAGAAACACTTCCGCTTCCGGCGATGGAGGGCTGGGCGGGCGGGCCGGGTCTAGGGGCGTGGCCTGCGCCGGGACTGCCCTGGGGGCGTGGCTTACGGCCGAGCCAGTCCTGGGAGCGTGGCCCGCGCCGGGGGCGTGGTCTGTCAGGTAGCTCCGCCCCAGCAGGGGACTGTAGGAGGGACTTGCTGCCAGTCGTGGCTCTGCCTGCTCACTGATGTCACAGGCCGCCATTTGTCAGATACCTTCAGGACGGGCCGGTGGCCTCGTGGTCCGATACCCGGAGGACTCAGGTGGCCCTGCAGCAGAATCTGGTGTCACAGTGTGTATCTGCTGCCACAAGTGACGTCCTGGCCACTGACATCTGTCCCACGGAACAGGCTCGTGCTGCTGAGTCAGCCTCAAGCAGCTGTGCCCACATAGTTTGCCATCTGTATGGATTCTCTCACCCCAGGTGACCCAGCAGATCTGGGAGCTACCATTCGGGATTTGGCTGTCCCCCTGGGGTGGGCCACATCATGAAACCACAGACACCCTGCGCAGGCAGAGCGAAGGTGGGGGACCTCTACGCATCAGAGGGGGGCTTCTGCCTGCAAGGTTCCTCATGTGTTGAGGGTATAGCAGACTGAGGGAAGGTGGACAAGATGGAAAAGATGGGATGGGGCCTACTCTCCTAAGGAAGGCCATACTATCTCTTGCTGTGACCACCACACTGTCCCTTGTTATGTGACCAGAACCTGCCATGCTAAGCTGTCATTTGCCGAATGTCACAGGACAAAGCCATCCTCAAGTGAAAAGGCAGAGTTGAAGAAAGACATTGGTAGGCTGCCTGGTTGTTCCCGGCAAACACATGCTGGGGAGCTGGCTCTGGGGCGTTTAGGCCTGGTGTCTGTCCTCAGGATGAGGAGGCTTTTGCCTGCCCCTGGCCTTCAGCTCCTGACTGACTGGGTTCTTGTGGCCTTTGGGAACTCTCTGACCCTCTGCTCCTTGTGTTCACACATGTGCACATGCATGTCAGCTCTGAGTCAGCCTGGAGTATGCATCTTTTCCTCCTAAGTATGTCCTCAGTCCCAGCTTGGGCACTGGGTTTGGCAAGGCCACAACGGACAATGTGACAAAGCCTTTGCCAGCATACCATGTGGGCAACAGTTTTACTCCACTTCCCATCCAGTTCCCTGCTTATGCCTTGGGAAAGCAGCAGATGATGGCCCAAAGCCTTGGGACCCTGCGCCTGCATAGAAGAGCCAGAGAAAGCTTCTAGTTCCTGGCTTCAACCTGGTCCAGCCTGGACCCTTGCAGCCATCTGGGGAGTGAAATAATGGATGGAAACGCACTCACTGGCTCACTCGCACTCTCTCTTCCTTTCCCCCTCCATAATGCGTTTCATATAAAACTTTCTTGCCTGTTGTAGATCTACTGAACTTTTAGTGCTACCTGCAGGCCAAATGCTTCTGTAGATCTATGGCCTATGGGCTTGTGTTCCACATCTGGGCTCTGCAGCTGCCATGGGGGTGGGAGGAGTGAGAGATTGGGGGCTGGGCTGGTCTCCCCTGTGGAGCATGTGGGGTGTAGGGAGGCCTGGTCCTGCCTTTCCCCACAGCAGACAGTGACCTCAGGCTCCACAAGCATCTCATCTGTGGTGCCCTCTGATCAAAGGAAGAGAAAGCCCAGCTTCCTGGCCTTGGGAGAGGCCCCTGCCCATGCCTGAGGCTCATCTCCCCAGCAGAGTCACCTGCTGAGCCTGGTGGTCCCCTGAGGGCTTCCTGGTCCCCAGTCCTTGCTGGGGTGGGGGAGGGGCTGAGAATGCCTGTGTTGAACTATTATTGCAGGGCGTCCATCAACCAACACACACCAGAAGGAAGTAAAGTGGCTTCATTTAGAAAATCAAGTAGACAGCTCCACTTAGGCTAAACTCATATTGACATGTGGTTTATTTTATGTCCTACTGCACGCTGAATACAAAATATCGTGTGAGAAATATATGAGGGAATGCTTCATAAAGGCACTGAGAATAGCATCCTAGCGTGTCAGTCTCAAAATTCAGCAAAGCCATTTTTTCCAATGGAATTCACAAGCCCTAAGGAAGGATGTGGGTCTCATTCCCTCTTCCCTCCCATCCCCATTATATTTGATTTTAAAAACTTTCAGGTATACATATATAAGCAAAAGCTCCACAGACCAGGAAAATGCAAACAGTGAACCTGGTCACATCAGACACACCATTTCCCTCCTTCCTGTGACATCATACACCTGCCCCTCACTTCTTGTAACATCACACATCTACCTCCCATATTCCTCTAACTGATGACATCACACTCGCAACTTCATGTTCTCATGACTAGTGACATCACACACCTGCCCCCATGTTCTTGTCACTGTCCCCCGCTACCAGGGTCTGGGGAGGAAGTGGCGAGATCACACAGAATCTTGGGCTGGTGCAAGCTAGGGGGCTGCAGGAGCATGTGGGCGTCCTCAGTGCCAGACTGCCAACACAGCATGACCTATCAGGTGCTCCAGTGGCGGGGGGGACACAGGACAGGGTGAGGTCTTTTTCAAGGAGGCGCCAGCTACATAGCGATGTCTGGTTCCACACACTAGTTTGGGGACTCTCGGGTTTCCATGCTGGTGGGTCACTGCTACTGCTCCAGACAGGCCCGGAGTTGCAGGGGGCACCCAGGATCTGTGCCAGGCGGTCCTACTGGAGGAGAAGGCACTTGGCTGGGAAGTGGAGGGGAGCAGGGAAGAGGCTAAAGCCCCACTCTGCCTAAATACCACTGAGGAGGCAACGCTAGGCCAGCTTGTGGACAGTCATACCAGGTGTCCAAGTCCCTGGGAGGCTGTGTGTCCAAGTGGCTGTGCTCATGGACAGTTAGGCCATTGGCCATGACCATGGCTCCTGCCCACCATAGCCTGGCACCAAGTTTCAGAGAGCCCCGTGGATCAAGCAGATATGAGGTCACTTAGCCTTTCCCCTTGACTTGCTTCCACAGTTGGCAGTGCCAGCCCCCTCACTGCCCCAGGGTAAATCCTCCCAAGATGGGCAGTGGAGGGCCAGCTCCTGGGATCCCACCACAGCTGTGTCCCACATGCATTCACCATTGGCAGGGCTAACCCCTGCTGGCAGAAAAGGGCACAGGCCACAGGTTCTGGCCAGTAGGCCCCGGCTGAGGCCTCCATAAGAGGTCACCCCAGAGGCAGACATCCTGTCCCCACCACACAGCCTGTTACAGTTCCTTTGCGGCTCCCATGCCAGCCACAGGGAACTCTGGAAGAAGTCAGGACCTGTGTCACCTTGGTTTGGGTCCAGGGGACCCACCATGACAATGGCCCCTCCACCTGCCCTTAATGAGTCTTCCTGAATGTGACACGAACCCAGACATGAAAATCCGGAGGAAGGCAGGAAGCAAGGGAGCCCAGGGAAGCCCCCTGCCTGCTCTGCTCTTGCTTTCCACTGCACTGGTGGCCAAGCTGTGAGAGCTGCTGACCGTGGAGTGGCCCCATGGAGCACGGAGCACCACTTGGACAGGCCCTCAGTGGCCACCACTCCTGAAAAGCAGAGAGGCCTGGCAAAGTGAGGTCCCAGAGGGTTACCAGGTTCAGACCCACTGAGGGGCTGGGCTGCTGAGTGGGCTCTGGGCATCCAGGTAGAGGAAGCCCAGGAGTGCTTGTTGTGAGGAGGTGGCTAGGATGGGAATGGGCACTCAGCAGCCCTGGGCGGGGTCAGGGTTGTCACGGCTCCTTGGGGGAATAACTCAGACTCAGTCCCCCGGCTGGCAACAGCCCAGGTGGGCGAGTCCAGGGGCTCGCGCTTCACTGTGGGGGCGGCCCCAGGTGCAGGGGGCTGGTGCTCATGGCAGCCAGCCATGCAGAGAGGCTCGGGGTGCTGTAGCCCGGGCAGGCTGTGGAGGGGCTCCAGGCAGGCACAGAGTGGACGGCAAAAGGGGGGCTGCTCCCTACCATGGAGGGGTGCCCCTAGCACTCCGTGCCCCAGGGCCGGGGTATATACCTGGTGCCAGGAGTCTGGCTCCGCCTTCAGGTGTACCCTGGCAGGGAAGGCAGCCAGGGGCGTCCTGGCCACATCACCAGCTCCCGGCCACAGCTGACTAGGGTCATAGTCACGCAGGGTGTCATCAGGTCCAGGGTCTTTCTCTATCTTGATGGACACCTGTGCACCTTGGGTGAGCTGAGTTGCAGCAAGGGGCCCTGGGCCCTGAGCCCTGTCCTGCAGGGGCTTGCTCCTACGGCTGGCACAGCCAGGGAGGTGGTTTGGCAGGTGAGGTGCAGATGAGCCCCTGAAGGCTCCGGCTGGGGCCTGGATGCCTGGGTAGGACATCCACGGGCTGCAAGGACCAGCCCGCACACAGGGTGGTCTCAGCCGGGCTCCTCCACCATCGCCATGGGTGCTTGCCGTCCAGCCCGGGGATTGTGTGGACCTTGGGGTCTCCAACCGGCAGGTACATCTGTGGCCCCTTGCACCAGCATACAGCTCTTCCTCCTCATCCCTGCACAGAACAGAGGCCATTGGGTCAACATCAGGGGTTTGGACCCCAGGGCAGACTCCCATCCAGGAGAGACCCACTAGGCCCCTCCCCTGGCCCCCACATCTTTCCCACTAACTCCTCACTGACCCACATGGCACCATGTCCATAGGGAGGGTGAGATGACCCAGCTGGTCACAGGAGGGGATGGTGTGAAAAGGGCTTCCCAGCAGAGGTGGGTAAGCAAAGGAGATGGTGACCAGGGAGGGTAAAGCTGGTGCCTGGGCAGCCCTGACCAAAGAGTCCATCATTTACCACCACCTCCTACCAGCCCCATCCGGGTGGGGCTGTCCTGCCATCTATGCTAGACCCACTTACTCTAAGGCCTCCTCAGGGCTGCTCCTGAGGCATAGGCAGGGGGCCCGGGCCCATTGTCCGGCATCCGGCATCGTCCTGAACATGGAGAAGCAGCTGCCTCCGTTATTCCTCCCTGTTGGAGAGGGACAGGGGAGAGGTGGCATGAGAGCCGCAGGGTAGCAGCAGGGTCCCTGCAGGATGCCAGAGCTACCGTAAGCAACAGGTCCCAGACGCACCTGCCACATGGCTAGGCCTCTTGTGCAGTCCTGCATCACACAGGGTCCAGGTTGCCTTGACCCTAGGAAGGAGGGGAGGACAGGTCAGCTGCATGTGGACAGCAGGATCAGGGGACACAGATGGGCCAATGATGGGTTTGGACTTTGTTCCAGTCCATGTGAAGTTCACAAGCCCCCATCCTGAAGGCCCAACAGGGACTGAGTAGACATGCAGCCGTGTGGCCTGACCCCAAGATTCAGAGTCCCAGGGAGCCCAGGGATAGGCCCCCTTCATTTTCTCACACAGAGACACTGGGCCACTCTTCTGGTGCTAACCCCCTATCAGGAGCCTAAGTTGGAGCCAAACCCTGTGTTGATGGGTCCAAGCCAGTCTCCTGCATCGCCCTGCACTGCCCAGACCCAGCTCCCTGGGCTTCCTGCAGGACGTCTGAGACCACGGACCAGGGAAGCAGGCCCAGAAGAGAGAGTAGCGGGTAGAGGGCACATGACCCACCTTGTGCACTTGCCAGAGGGCACAGGGCAGGGCCTGCAGTTCATCAAGCAGCCGCCAGGGGCATCTGAGAGCCCAGAAGCGCCAACCGGGGTGAGAGTGTGGGCGGGTGCAAGGGGATCATGTTGGTGGGGTGTAGTGGATGTAGGGTGTAGCAGTTGAGGGCTGCTGCGTCTGTGTTAAGAAGTCCAGCCACTCACAGCGGAAACAACCACGGCAAACCGTGGCGGCGCCAGCCTCTCCACTCACCTGGTGTCTGCAGGGTCCACCCGGTGCTTGGGCAACAGGAGCGGGGCCGGCGTGCTCACCGTGGGGGGCGGCAGAACAGGCACCGCAATGCAGAACAGCGAGAGCCGCGGGGGCAGCACCGAACCCGACGGCGCCTTCTTCTTCTGCCCAAACAGGAACTTGAGTTTTCCCTGGAACTGCATTGTCTGTCAAGGAGGAGGGATGGACATGGTGTTGGGGGTGAGATCATAGGGCCAGCCATGACACCCCTTGCCCTGCCTGAGGTCTCCACATAGACAGCCTGTCGGGCAGGGACAGAGGTGTTGCCACAGGAGGCCTGGCCATGGACACCAGGACAGATAAGAAGTCCTGAGCAGCCCAACAGCCCTTATCCTGAATGGACAGTCCAGGTTCCCGCTGACCTACAGTCACCACCTCCTGATGTCACAGTCCACAGAGGGTCCACAGGAAGTCCACACAGACCCCTGGGCCACAGTCCAGGTGGGTAGGTCCTGGGTCTGAGTCTGTGAGGTGGGCAGGGCTGGGACAGGTGGATGTTATCCTAGTGCCAGGTGAATGCCTATTTTCAGATGAGCAGAATCACACCGCAAAGGTCCATTTGGAAAAGATAGGGCTGAAGGGGCTGGCTTGGTGGGGTACTAGCCTAAATCCTCCCGGTGGCACCAGCATCCCATTTGGGCACTCCACTTTTGATTCAGCTCCCTGATCACTGACTGGGAAAGCAGTGGACAAGGCCCAACACTGGGACCACCGCACCCATCTGGGAGACTCAGATGGAGCTCCCAGCTCATGGCTTCAGACCAGCCTAGCTCCTGGTGTTGTGGCTACTAGGGGAGTGAACCAGGGAATGGAAGACCTCTCTATCCCTGTAACTCTGAATAGATGATTTTTATTAGCTGATGATTTGATTTTAACTCTGTGTTATGCTGTGTGGGGGAGACACAGTCATGGGTTCGCCACCTCCGTAGGTGCAGCTCCAGGGCCTCAGGGTGAGGCCAAGGCAGTCTCAGAAGCATCCAGGACCGAAGGTGGGGATGCCTACAGGTCCTGACAGAGGGCCCTAAGCTTGCTGGGAGATGGGCGTGTGTGCAACCTGGGCTCAGTGCCTGCAGGGCCACAGGGGGCAGGTATCTCAACCAGGTCCCTCCACCCCTGGTCCTGCCCCACCCCACCCTCTACTGTCTGCCCCACCCCCCTCCAAGGGAAGGAGCTGCACTCACCAGGAAGCCCGAGGTGCTGTCCAGTAGGCATCGGACACGGCACACGAAGCAGCGAGTGAGAAAGGCAGCGAACTCCGCCGACACACCTGGGCCCCCATCCTGGGCCCTGAGCAGCTGCCCCAGGATAGGGTCCTCTCCTGCAGGGGCGCATGGGGAGGGTGGTCCACAGCCATGGCCAACAGGGGAGGCTGTGGCACCTTGGAAAGCATCCTGCATGGCTTCTTCATTCCCCCTCACCGAGTCCAGATGTTTGGCCTCATCTGCTAGCCGGATCATCACGTGGAGTTGAGGTGCATCCCCCAGCTACACCTGCCACCTCCGATGTCCCACCGGTCAGAGACTACCCCATTTTCTGTGCTGTGTGTGAGTGGTGGGGTTGGAGAAAGCCCCCAGCCCAGTGGAGGCGGGACCAGGTGATGACCTACCTGCCTCTGCAGAGACCGCGTGTGGGGGGTCCATGGCCCAGTGGAGCTGGCGGCAGAAGTCCTGGCGGTCGTCCACATGGATGTAATCATAAACACTCTGATGCATCACGTCCGTCTGTGAGGACAGCCACACTCAGTGCCTGACCCCAACACAAGGTGACACCCACAGGCAAGAACCCACAGACAGGGGTACCACACACCCTCTCAGGCGAGGCCAGGAGGGAATCCCCAGGAGGGACCTGGCCTTGCTACAGGTGGGGAAGGGGTGCCCCAGGACGGCTAACAAGGTTGGAGCCAGTAGCATGGAACTGCCATCCTGAGCAGGAGCAGGAGCAGGGACTGAACCCCATCTCCCTGACCCTGTCCCTGCCCTGGGCTGGCTCTTTCCCTCAGCCCTGCACCCAAGCCCAAGGCCAGTGAGGGACTAGCCCAGGGGCCTGAGCCAGGTCTCAGGGCACCATCCACCTTGCTCACCTGGTGGAAGCCCAGGTAGTCCACAATGGTGGCTGAGGCGTAGAAGATGCTGCCCTCCGCACTGACCACCAGCGCGAAGCCATCCAGGGACTGCAAGAAACAGGGGAGGCAGTGTTTTTGGGGGAATGGTTGACTTGGCCCAGCACAGAAGTCATACTGGTGGCCTTCAGGGAACATCCTGACCACATAAGCACGATGTTCTCAGGAATGTGATCACAGAACATGATGACATCAGTGGTCTGACCACAGAACATGGTGATTTCATAGGTCTGACAACAGAGCATGATGTCATAGGCCTGACCACATGGGCATAGTGACATCATAGATCTGACCCATAACATGATGATGTCACAGATCTGACCACATGGGCACTGGGTCTGCTCTTGCCTGCAACACCTGTCAGTGGGGCTCAGGGGCCAAGAGACATGGTGCCCCCTCACGGTCTCACCCCAGGGTGGAGCCTGCTCCCTCTACCCAGCTAGGGTGAAGTCTGAGCTGCCCAGGGGCTCTGGGTCACACCTGGGAACAGCTGGGAAAGCCTAGCCCCCCACTGCCACCCCTTGCTCCATGGGCAGGACACCTCAGTCAGGAGCCAGGACCAGATTTCACAGGGCCTAATCCTTTTGATTGGGTCAGCGCTGCCCACTGCCCTGGGCTGGGGTTCAGGCAAAGGTAGGGTGCAGCGTTGCGGGAAACAGAGGCCCCAGCACGGACAGATAGGGCCCTGGATCTGCTCACCCTGTACGCCCCCCATGCAGGCCTGCGAAGGCGCAGCTGGCAGTGCCAGGCTCAGTACCAAGCCCTGGCGCGTGCCGCCTCGCCACGAGGCCCGGCTAAGAATAGTTCAAAGGCGGAGGGCAGCGCCAAGTCCCGCGCACGCGAGCAGCCTCAGGAAGGGCTTTACGAGCTGACTCATGACCCAGCGATTCCTGGACTGGACGAATCATCTGGTTCCAATATCCATGCTCCGCGCCGCCAGCACGTCCCTGCGTGGGGCCGACTGCGGGGGCATGAGCTGCACACGCCCCTCCCTTCATCCTGCAACAGCTCTGTTTAAACTGGGGGCACATAACGAAGTTGTTGCCCTTCGTCTCGGGGGACCGCAGCACCAGCAGCCGCGGACGCTGCACCTGTGTGCCCCACACGCTGTCCCGCCCGCCCGAGCCTTAGCAGAGCCGGGACTTCCTCCGGCAAATCCTACGAGTGCCTCCAGTCCTCCAGTCCCGCGGCAGGAAACGGCAGGCACTTCCACGGTTATTTCTGTCAAGGTCACGCACGACGGGGGTGGCTCCCCGACGGCCGTTGTCACGGCGACCAGCCGCACGCGAGCGCTAGTCACGCGAGCGGGCACCAGGCAGACGGCCGGGCGACTGGCTCGGGCGCCTGGAGCCAGATCACTCACGGCCGCCAGGGGCTTGCGTGCGAGCGAGTGACCGGTTGTTGACAGCTCCCACAGGCGGTCAGAGAGCCGCCCACGCCTGCCACGAAGCAGCCACAGCTCGTGGAAGCTTCTGGAAAACGCAGTTCCCTTACACCCTGCAGTGACTAGGTAGGTGCAGTCTGGAGGGTCGTGGTTGGGTGAGGCTGGAAGATGTGGGTTGCAGCCAAGACGCCCTCAGACACGCCTTGGCAGCCCCTGGGGGCCCATCCACACATGAGCAGTGCAGAGCTCAGCTTGGCTGCTGGCACTGGGTCTTCCACTGAATCCAAGGTGCAGCCCCTGGGTGAAGTGGGCACACAGGGGCAGCCCCATCCTGGGCAGCAGGGACTCTTGTCTGGTTGCCCTGGAGATGAACACGGCCAGGTCACTGCTCACCCAGGTGGCTCCCAGACCCTGGTTTGGAGTTCTCAGTTGGAACTACCGCCTGCCCCTACCCCTCAGGAGGACAAATGGCCTGGGAATCAAGGGCCTTTGAAAGCACACGGCATCCTATGGTATAGCAGCCAGGATTCAGGTATCCCCAGCACCCACCATGGCGGGGTTGCTCTGCCCTTCCTGTCTGGAACCCTGATGGACGACCAACTTCTGGTGCTAGGACAGCCCTTTATCCTCCAGCAAATGTAGGCACTGATGCTGCACGCCAACTCAGGCACCTGTGGACACTGTCCCAGAAGCCCCCCAGTCAGGGTTCTGTTCCACACCACAGCGAGGCTCCTGCACACAGCCCTCACAGGTGACCTGTGCAGTGTCAGGGCAGAGCTGGTCAGAGGGGCCCATGCTCCCTGTATCTCCTCCACCATGTCCATATTGGGGAGCAGCCTCTGTGGGCCATGATCACCTCCTTCTCTGGCCACAGGTGGGAACAGCTCTCGGGTTCTGTTCTCTTGTGTGGCCACCCTTAGCCAGCCCAGGCAATCCAGCACCGACTGTGTGGCACAGCTAGCCACATCTGCGTGGGGCAGGGTGAGGGTCCTGAGCCTTTGAAGGTACTCAGAACCAATACCCAGATGGACAATCAGATAGGAACCACTGAGAATCGTTCAAAGCAACAAGATGGCCATGGTCAGCTCTCTGGAGCCGAAGAGAAGGTGGATGGACAGGCCAGGCACACAGGCAACTGCCGTGAACAAGACAGAGGCCCATGGACCCTATACAGGACACATGCTGTGGCCGAGCAGAGGACATGGGACAGGAGGCCTGAGACTAGTCTCCCCGGGATGCACACAGCAACCAGACACAGAAGACAGGAAAAACAGCCCCAGGGACCTAAAGCAACGTGGACAGCCCTGGCTGCCGGGCACCAATTCCTGAAGCAGAGGACGAGGAGAAAAGGAAGCAGCTGAAACTCCCAATTCTGGGAAACAGATGCACTTCCTGGCTCCCCAAGGTCCTGCTGGGAGATCAGGTGGACCTTTCACGACAAAGCCTCCAGTGAGAGTGGAAATGGCCTGGCTGTGAGCTGAGACACGGCTCAGTGCCCACAGACAGCCACATGACCGAGCTGCAGCTCAACGCCCCACGGACAGTTGAGATGTAACACGGGGCCCTAGTAATGGCTATGTGAGTGATGAGAATTCTTCATCAGGAACAAGAGGGTCAAGAAGGGGATAATGTCCCTAAGGCACAAATGATGGAACTGAGGGTCAGTATTCTACGCCAGAAAACACGAGTGGACAATGAGACCATGCCCAGCCTGCACCTGGGAGGGTTGAGGACTTAGGGAGGAGAGAGACCATGATAGAACCAGGGAAGAGTGCAGGACCAGTACCACAGGTTGTGCTGACCCCAAGGCCTTTAACACACCTGACGGCTGACACCACAAGTACTGGAGTGATCTATGTACACACCTACCACACATATTCAAAGATGTATAGACACACCTGTGCACTCAAATACATGCACATTTTCCTGTGTGGACGACGGTGCACACACAGACCTGTACATACTCACGCACACTTTCTGTGTGGGCAGTACACATGCACATATTTAGACCTATGCACACTCACATGCACACTTCCTTGTAGACTAAGTGTACACACAGACACATGCACACTTCCTGTATAAACTGAAGTGCACACAAAGAGTTGTGCACACTCACACACATACACTTCCTGTGTGGATGATGGTGCATGTACACATACTTATACCTGTATGCGTGTACACACACATACACACACACACACACACACACACACACTTCATGTGTAGATTGCAGGAGGAAAACACCTCCTCCCCCAGCCCAGAGTAAGGAACTCACAGTCAGAGTAGCCCCTGAGTGGACATAGGATTGTGACGGTGCTAGCAGGTGTGTGACAGGGACCAGGTATTGGCAGCTGTAGGAGCTGGGTCCAGGCCAGAGTGGGCAGCAGAGAGCAAAGCCAATCTGTTGCCAGGCTCCACTGCACCCAAACCAACCTCTGGCCCACAAGGGGCCGCTGCTTCACCTGGGGGAGGGGGTTGAGGAACTTCTGCAGGTAACCTGTTTGTCGGAGCCCAGCTGGAGCCCGTTGGCAGGCACGTGCCCTCCTCCTTCTGCACTTCTTTTCCTGGCTGCCCACAGCCTGGGGGCTGCAGTCATGACATCCCTGCTGACCCCCATGCCCACCCCAGCTCCATCCTGGCACAGGAAAACATGGGCCAGGACTGGCAGCAACATCTCCACCTCAGAGTCTGTTGCTGGAGGGTTCCCCTAGTGACCTTGAGGACAGTCAGACAGAAGGATGAATTCCCAGGTGTGAACCCAGGCTGGAATCAAGTGGAGAAGCTCAAGGCAGCCTCTCCTGAGGACCTAACTTGGGGGGAGAGACGTAAGAGACACAGAATGAAGTGAGTGAAGGCACCCCCAGCCCCCACCAAGGCACTCGCCTCCAGCAGCAGCCGCCCCTCCAGCACAGCAGACCCTCCGCGGGGGTGGATGTCTCCTGGTGCACTGGCCCCGGCCACTGGCCGCCGGGCACGTCTGTCCTGGACAGCTGTGGGAAAGGAACACAGGTGAGCTCTGCCCAGACCAAGGCCCTGTGAGGCGTCCCCTGCACCCGCCCAGCACAGACGTGGCCCCTGCCTAGGAATACAGCTCCAGGCTTGGGGTAGGAACCAGGACCCAGGCCAGATCAGCACGTGGAGGTGGAGCTCCAACCCTAGGGTGCCCCAACACCTGCAGCTCCACCCACAAATGCCCACATCCCTGAGTCACATGTCTCAAGGGTTCCCCTGAGAGAGCCAGAGCCCCCTAGAGGCAGAACGCCTCCCAGCAGGCTAGTCCTGATCCACCTGCTGCGTCCCAGGACCCACTCACAGGTTATGGCCAATCCCCCTGGTGGACAGGAGGAGTCACTGCAGGCGTCCACATCCCAGGGACATCCCAGCTGCCTGTGTAGTGTCTCAGGGTCATGCGACATTTCTGGGGCCCCGCCAGTGCAGGGGTGAAAGTTCATGAGTCACCTAGGGCTGTCCCCACGCCATAACCCTCCCCCGCCCGCCATGGCCTGTCAGGGTTCCCACCTGGAGTCCAGTGTAGGAGGACATTGTGACCCTAGAAGGTCAGCGAGCACAGGATTAAGTTGATTGATAATATTTGCATGAGAACAACCAAATGGCTACCTTTTGTACACCTGATGGGATATCATTTATATAAGAACAGTTGAGTGGACAGTATGTGTGTGAGAACACTTGGTGAAATATACAACAAGACAAAAGGAGTTCCAAACAAAAATATATAGAAACTGTTACTGGGTTTTGTTGATGAGCTCAATACTTCCTCCCTTATCGCATATGACCCTCAATGTATAAAGTCTGATGCCACTAATAAACGTCAGCTTTGACCATCAGTCAGGGTCCACGCGTGTTATTTTCGGCTCCATGCACCAAGTCCATTGCTGTGGGACAGCGACAGACCAGATGCTTGGCTTATCCCTCCTGCCAATCTGACTTATGTCTGAGGTCCAGGTCTGCACCATGGCTGGGATCCTTCACTCAAAGCCAGTGGTACCCTGCCCCCAGAGGGACCATTGCCACAGATCTTAGTAGGAGGTGCAGAGGATCCTCAAGGAAGCCCAGGAGACAATGGCCCTTCTGTTGCTTCCAGGGGCCTGCATTTGTGTTCACTTGCTGGGCATGGAGCCCGTAGTCCCTGCCAGGGCACAGCCCCAATCCAGAGAACAGGAGGCGTCCTTTGCAGTTCCCAAACGCTGCCCACTGCCCTCAGTTACCCACACCCTGCAGGCCCAGGCTAGAGACTAGGCTAGTCAGGGACAATGGCAGCACCATCATATTCAACTCCACCTCAACCCTCATTCCCCCACCACCCCCAGTGAGGACTGGGACCCCGGCCATTTGCCCCTGTGTACCCAGAGTACAGCCAGGGTCTGGAAAGAAGGGAAAGAGAGTGGGGTCTGGGGTTGGACACTGCTGGCTAGGACTCCCAGACCTGCTCCACGCGGCCAAGGGTCCCCCCAGCCTGACGTGGGTCTCGGCATCACCCAGCCCCTGGCTCAGGTCTGGGTTCCGTGGGTAGCCAGGGCGGGCCTGAGGGCTCTGAGGTACCACAATGAGCTCTGACCACAGGCGCCCCTACAGGCCCCGCCCCAAACTTGTCCGGCGCCCCCTCCTGCCGTATCCCCAGCGCCCCCTTTCCCGCGCCTCAGCGGCTGTCCTGCCCCCGCCCACTTCCCTTCGGCGCCGCCGCGGCTGTCACGCGATGGGGCCCGGCCAGGGCCTCGCGTGCGAGTGCAGCTGCCGCCCCCGCTCCACCCCGCCCCAAGGGTCTGCGTCCCCACCACGGCCTCTGCATAGGCCCAGCCGGTCCTCTCTGGTCAGCTGTTGCTGCAGGCTGACCCCCACTGGGTCTTAGGCGGTTCATGGAATGGAGCAGGCCCTTGGAGGAGGCACAGGTTGGGGATGGCCGTCCCCTGGCCTCAGGGTTATGAACTGGGAGCCAGGCTCTTCCAGGGTCCCTAGAGGGAAGGAGAGGAGGATGGAGACCCTTAAGAATCCCCAACTCCCCTTAACAGACTGGGTCAGAATCTGCAGGAACTGACACTGCTTGCATTGGAGCAGACAGCATGGGGAGAGTAAGAGGTGGTGCTTGCCAATCACAGGGTGGGAGGTCGCAGACAGCCTCACCTGTTCCCACCCCAGGGTACAGAGCTAAGTGTCCCGATAGCCATGTGGCCCCTCCCCCCAAGAAGCCATCCATGGTCCAGTACCTGGGTAAAGCCAGGTGTGACCGTGGACAGTGAACGAGCAAACAGGGCCACGTGTTCTGAGATGCCACCATGCTGCCTCTGGCTCCTGGGCACCCCGGTGGTAGCGCTGGGCAGTGGACAAGCAGCTGGGGCTCAGCCTGTCATGAGGGGTGGACTTAGATCCTCGGCAGGCAAGTGACAGCCCAGGCCCAGCAGGGCAGGAACTGAAGACAGGACAAGATGGAGAGGACTGCGTGAGGTGACAGGCCCAGGCAGAGAGGAGGGTGATGAGTTAGTGCATGGTCACACTTGCAGTGGCTGGACCCAGGCTGCTGCTATGGATGCCCTGAGGTCAGCAGGCACAAGGTAGGCATTTTGGGATAGGTAAGACAGGAACGCCTGGGCCAGTCTCGCTGGCTGTACCTGCTCCAGTACTGGGACACATGAAGGGCTGCCCCCTGAGGGTCTCATCGGTTCAGAGAAGCTTGAACCCCACAGGGAACCTTCCCAAGCCAGTCCAGATGCATTCACATGGTGTCAGTGGACGAATCAGCACTGGACCAATGGATTCAGATAGGGACAGCCTCCAAGTGGGGACAGGCCAGGCAGCCACTGAGGATCTGGAGATAAGGGGATCTGCACCCCCCCGCCCCGACTGCGGGAGCCAGACTCCCTCATGTCCAGTGACCCCCCAGCAGGCCCCACCTGTGGGGTCTTGGGAACCCTGAATCATTCCTCAAACCCAGTGTCTACCCGACGACCTTTACTCAGACACTGCTTCTTCGTTGAAGGACCGTGAGCCATGTCCAGCAGTATCTTTCCAACTGGGCACCACAATGCACCTGCTGCCAGGAATGGCAGAGCTAGGGGAGGATGCGGAGTGAGTCGGGGCTCCCACCCCTCCCCCAGATGCTCCTGCAGATGTCTGTACAGACTTTATTGGGGTTTTGGCACATTTAGGCTCCCCTTTTGTCTTCCAGATTTGCCCAAGAAGATGATGGAGGATGAAAAGTGAGCCACTCAGTGAATGTGTTGTTTCCTCCCCATGACGTCCCTGCACCTGATGCTGCTCTTTAAACGTGGCCCAGATGGTCTCTATGCTCTATAGGCAGGGTTGGTGACCATATTAGAAGGCTGATCACCCACTGGGTCTCACAGGCACTCAGGGCCCACAGGTCACCAGGGGTGTAGGTCACTCCAGTCCAGCACATGTGGGACCAACTATAGGGGTGTTGGGTCTATGAAGGTCTCCCAAAGAGTAGTGTGGAGGGTGAGGACAGTACCAAGATGCCCAGGCCTGCCTGGACATCGCCACCCATGTCAGGCTGCAGTGGGCTCCTGGAGCATAGGAAACCAAGTCCATTCTACTTAGGTTCCAGCACCTTCTCATTACTCCATCCCATGTGGAAACTTGTCTCCCCCCATCCCAGGCAGAACTGGCAGTTCAGCTTGGACCCTGGGGACTGGTGGTGCCTGCTCCATGCCTGCCTGGGAGGGATTAATCAGATGTTCACACCATCTTCCCATCCAACTCCATCCTAGGAAACCAGTCTGTGGACCCCTGAGTTGGGGGTACATTGCATCCTGGCCACACTCTGCCAACCTCCTCCCCAGTCAATGGACACACAGGTGAGGCTTCCATGACTGAACCTCATGTTGTTCAGCCCTGTGAGAAGCTGGCTAGGTGATAACCAGCAGGTGAGGACATAGCTTGAACCAGGACAGGTGTGGATAGAAGGGTCTGTGTCTCCTGACCCTTGGCCACACCCTCCAAGGAGGCAGGGCTGGACTGCCTAGGGTGTGTGACCATACAGGCCAGTGTGAGTGTTGTGTGAGAGCAGAGTGCTTGTGAGGGTGTGAGGGGCACACATGACTTCTGTGAACGCCTGGTGGTGAGAGAGTGGGCAGGTGCATGTGTAAGATGCATGTCAGACATATGTGAAAGTTGTATGAGGGGTGTGAGAGACATGTGAGAGATGTGTGAGAAACATGTGAAACGTGTGAGAGATGTGTGAGAAGCATGTGAGACATATGTGAAATGTATGTGTGAGATACATGTGTGTGACAGGAGGGGAGGATTCTTGCCAGCAGCCAGGTGTGAACTGTGTTCCTCCCCAGTGCTCAGGCACAGCTGCAGGACACAGGGGGTAAAATGCTTTTCAAAGTCCTCACAGAGCATAAACAAACATGCTCCTGCCACATGCCCACACCCTCACACCACACACCGTGCAAGCCACGTGCAGCCTGGTTAGCCATGGTGCCCAAGTCTCAGAAGGCACTATCATGTCCCCTGAATGCAGCTCCCTGCAGAAGGTACACACAAACTGGCCCTGGGCCTGCCAGGTGCATGGAGCTCTCTTGGTGATGTGGTCCTGCCCATCGCTCTCTGTCCAGGAAAAAGGACAGCATACAGCATTCTGAAGCTCAGGTCAGCAGCCAAGGGCAGAGAGCAGAAGGAGAGGAAGGGCTAGGGTTTGGGGGGGGGCAGTGAAGCAGGGCCAGCCACAGATGCACCATGCACCAAGGCAGCAGCCCCACAGACCCAGGAGTTACTCCCAGTCAGCACCACAGCCCTGGCATTCCTGAGCCTCTCTTCCAGTCATGCACCCAGAGCCTTCCCTCATGTCACATCCAGAGCTGCCCTCCAGTCACATGTCCAGAGCCACCCCTCATGTCATATGCCCAGAGCCACTGCTCATACCACGTGGGCAGTCACCCCTCACATCACACCCACATCCATCCCACACCTCACGCAACAGACAGGGAAATGCTACCTCTTGCCAGTCTGCCCTTACGCCTTGATAAACCTCAGTTGCTCCCTCCAATGCCTCTTCTCCACCTATGATCACACAGTTCTGGGAGTACAGATATGGAGCATGAGGTGGCAGAATTTCAACAAAAAGCCGTTTCCCCATCGTTAGGTCTGTGTAAGCACAGACATCTCAGGGGCACATGGCCCTGGACATTCTGATAAGACCATGGATGTCTCAGGGACAGGCCAGTAAGATAATGGATGGTCTTAGGGACATGCCATCAGGTGTGCATTTCTGACTGTGACATCCCAGGACATGCACTTGGCTCCAGCTCTCATCCCCCTGTTCTATACCTGATGAGTACATACAGCTCCCATGTATGTGTACCGAGTTCCGTGGGCCCAAGAGAGAGATGGCCCTGATGCCACTGCTGGGTAGGTTGGGGACAGAGGCAAGAGGGGAATCCATTCCATGACACAGCCCACACATTGGACATGGCTGGACTTTGTTGTCACTACCCAGGGTTGTCCATTTCTGGGCCCCTTTCCTTGGCTTGCCCCCAGCCTTAAGGTCTCCCAGGGAGACAGGACCTGCAATTGAGCTGACTAGGGGATTCTGCTGAGACTGAGGTTGAAGACAGGAGGCAGGGCGTCTCACCCTCAGGGGCCACCACCCAGCACCATCATGGGCCCTGGCCAGCAAGGGGAGCAGCTGGACACAGTTGCAGGCCTGGCCCTGCCCAGGGCTCTTCTACTTCTTAGGACAAGACCACTTGGTTTTGTTTGAACCCTGAATTTCCCCTTTTGAGATCAGCACAGTTTTTATAGAGTGGAAAACTCTGACCTAGGCAGCTGGCCGCAGAAGAGGCTGGCCAGTCCTCTAACAAGCTTGCAATGCTCCAGGCAGGCAGAGAAAGTAACAACAGATGTGTTTGAGCATGGTTGAGGGTCCATGAACTGGTGAGGGAAAATGGGGCTGTGCTCATCCTTGGGGAGAAACTCCTAGCTAGTTCCTGTCCTTCCCTAAATGGCTTCCCTGGAACATTGATGAGGCAAACTTGACTGTTCCTCAGTCACCACAGACTGAGATCCAGTTATCATAACTTCCCAGAGTCACCAACGATCCAGATCCTACAGCTTCTTGTTGCTGGAAACCACAGACTCAGACCCAAATATCACAGCTAACTGTGTGTCCCTCATCACCACAGAAAAGATCCAGATCCCACAGCTCCCTGGGTGTCCCAGAGTCACCACAGACTCAGATACAAATCCAAAGTTCTTGATTCTCAGCATCCTGCATGCTGGAAATTAAGTCAGGAAAGTTCCAGAATTTCCTGTACTACTAGCAGAATCGCCAACTTTGGTTTCCTTGGTGAAAGGTGTGAGAGAGACCCGGTCTGTATTTCACCGGTGGTGAGTCACATGGCTCAGAGCCTGTGGCCCACTCTGAACTGTCTTTCCAGCTCATGGCCAGCAAGTCAGATGCACACTCTATGGTGTCCAGAACTGTACCATCAGGCACCACCAAACGCCGTGGAAGGATGGCGGCCACTTGGCCTGTAGGGGAGACCTGGACAGGGTCTGAGCTTGCTGGAGATAGCAGGATCAGAGCTTCTCTGAGATCACTAGGCTCTGGCACTGCCCATGTATCACCTCAGGACTATCCCAAATCCATGGGCTGACCTGGTAGACCCACTTGACCTGGCTGTCCCAGTCCCACCCTGGGTGACTGCTTTCATTCAGGACAAATGCAGCTTGAACCCCAGTCGGGGATTTGGCTCCAAGGTTCTCCTGAAGCTGGGAGCAGTCTCACCTCACGCCCACAAAGTCAGAGGTTACTCAGGTCTGTGGATTTCCTTGAACCCCTTGAGATGTCCCAGGATCACTAATGGACACCTGAAACCCTCAAGAGGTTGGGGAGCAGGTCGAGGAGTGGACAATGGCCCTAGGACCTGCTTGGCCTACAACAGACACCCCTGTGTTGGGGTGAGAGGAGGAAACCCCTCACCCAGAGGATACCAGCCAGTGCCCAGGGTTCTATGGGAGGGGTGTGTTTCAGGCTCTGAGAGGCCCCACCCTCAGGTGCAGGACTGCCATCTGTTAAGAGTGGGGTATGTTCTGGAGCAGGGCAGTGGGAGAGTACCAGAAATTCTCCTCCAGCCCTGGCTGCCCTTGCCCCTGCACTGGGCACCACTTCCCTCTTCCCATGACTGGCTAGCCATACACCAACCATCAAGCAGCTCTCCTCTGATCTAGGTGGGCCCAGAAGAGCCAGGTGGACCTAGGGAAGCCCCAGGTGGGCCCAGCGGCCATCCTACCTTGGAAGAAGCTCTTCACCCTGAGGTAACTGACACTGAGACGCAGGACCGAGAGCTTGTCCAGCTTGGAGATGATGTCAGGGGGCAGGGGCAGTAGGCTGGCCAGGTGGTCCAGCTCAGCATTGAGGCGGTCCCGGTGCCTCTTGGAAGGGTTCGACTTTTCAGTTCCCAGGGCAGGCCTCCTGCAGGGGACAGCCACATGGACAAGGTTCAGGAGATTCTTCATGGAGCTGCTGTGTCTCCACTGTGCACCGCCCCCCAGCCCCCACCTCCCGTCAGTGAGGCAGAACTTGTTTCAGGAGGGGCTTGACTAGAGCCTGGGAGCTGCCATCAGGACAGAGAACTAAGGCTTCCGACACATGCAGATGCCCACACTGAGGGGCCACAGATGAATCCCAAACCCCAGACTCAGCAGAGATACAGAGTGGGCAGCCCAAGAACAGAAGCTTGTGGGGGACAAGGGTATGTGAAGAAATCCTGGCCCCAATGTATGTGTGTGTATGTGTCTCTGTGCCTGTGTCTGTGTATATATGTTTGTGAGCATGCATGTGTGTGAACATGCATGTTTGTATGTGTCTGTGCTTGTGAACGTGCATGTATGAAATGACACATCCATCCATTCTCTTTATGTTCACGGTGTTGACCCAAAGCTAACATTTCAGTACAATCCAACTCTTCCTCAGGGCTCCTGACTCCAACCTGAGGACGCCAAGCTCCTGGCCCCAGCCCTCAGGGCCTGTTTTGCCTCTGCAGACCAGGAGGCTGAGCAGAGCAGAGCACATCAGGGAGAAAAAACTGGCTGCTTCTCCAGAAGAGATACTGACCAATTTCACACAGATGCTCTCTGACCCCAAGGAAGATGTATTCCACAAGGAGAGGAGCCTCCTGCCAGCACATCTGGTCCACCTGCTGGAGATGGCCACAAGGGACATCTCTTCCCCTGACCTCTCGCCTCAGTGACCTTCCCTTCCCCTGACCTCTCACCTCAGTGACCTCCCCTTCCCCTGACCTCTCACCTCAGTGACCTTCCCTTCCCCTGACCTCTCACCTCAGTGACCTTCCCTTCCCCTGACCTCTCCCCTCAGTGACCTTCCCTTCCCCTGACCTCTCCCCTCAGTGACCTTCCCTTCCCCTGACCTCTCCCCTCAGTTACCTTCCCTTCCCCTGGCCTCTCACCTGGCAGTGAGATGGATCCCTTGGAGTTGACCGAGAAGAGGACAAAGTGGGAGACCATGTCCTCTCATCTCAGCCTGCTGGGGGTCCACCATAATGGACATGGCTTAATGTCAGACTAATGAGATCTATGGGTTAGAGTGGATACACACACTTACTGGACACAGTCACCAGATATACACACCAGCAGTCATAGGGACGTATACATTCACACACACACACACACACACACACACACACTGGACACCCATGGAGGTGAGTGAACATCAGCTTGATGCACAGGGCTCATGACACCACTGGTGAAGCATGTCTGGGGCCAGTCACACAGTCTAGGCTCTGCAACCCGAGACCTGCGGTCAGGGAGGCTACCCCTCCTTGAGCCCTGTGGCAGGAGGGGTGTCTCCCTTGCAGCTGGGTGTATTGCATAGCAGTGCTGTCTTGGGAAGGGGCTGAGGGCAGGCAGCTTAGGTACTGCAGGGAAGGAAGGTTTCAGAAAGCACTACTGACACGTCTCCATCTTGGCTCTAGCCACAGGGCCTTGCTCATCCTGTCCCTGTCCTGTCCATCAGGAACCCCTGAAGAGCAGCTTCCCAGCATGCATCTGAAGGTCCTGGACACAATCTCTGGCTGTTCATGGCTCCCAAACACTCAGGCCCCTTTCCTGCATTGGGAGTGGGGAAAAGGGGCATAGAGGATACTTCACTGTTTCTGCGTTGGCTTTCTTCTCGTCCTCCCTGCATACACGCACTCCCCAGGAGGGATCATTGTCTGGACCCTGTGGGAGAAAGGAGTCATCACATCAGCCTTGGGCTGACCCTGGGGCCTCCACAGCCTGTGGACAGGGCTCATGCCTCACCCCTCCAAGCAGGACCCCAGGGAGTGATGCTGGATTCTGCACTGCTGCCCATCCCATCCCTGTGCTCTTGTGAGGTGAAGGAGGGGAGCCTCTGGGCCAGCACTGACCGCAGATGCTGCTCCCTGCTCAGAGTGGCCACAGTCATTCACTCCAGTCCTTGGCCACCAGGCCTCCTCATTGGCGGACACCTCAGCCCATCTAAGGGATTTGCCAGGCCCTGCTGATCACAGTGAGGCGTCAGTCCCAACACAGCCAGTGGGGAGGGTCTATGGCCGAGCTGCTCAGCTCACCCAGTCCTACAGGGACCTGGGTCTCTTTCTGCCCAGCATCAGCTTCTCTGTACAGTGGACACCCCAGCCCCCAGCCTCCTGCAGCCTAGGCAGTGCTAACCCTAGCCCCTGGTCCTCAGCTGACCTCACGTGTGTGCAGTGCTCATACCAGCTCCCAGTTGACCTCACACAGATGAAGCACTCACACTGGCCCCCAACTGACCTCAAACATATGCTGCAAAGGTGAACCCAAAACCAGCTCCCATGTGGAAGGGTTTAAGTGAGCTACACACACACACACACACACACACACACACACACACACACACACACACACACTGAGCAGCCTGAGGTAGCTGCACAGCTTTCAGACAAAGTAGAGGGAAGAGCAGCTGAACCAAGGGAGAACAGGATACACATCCCAAGCAGGCAGGATTACCGATAGGTGAAGGACTCCAGAGAACTGCAGAGTACGCCAGACACAGGCGGACACGGTCACAAAGATGAACTTCACTCAGCCACAACACTGGGGGGCCAGCTCATGTGGCCAAAACAACTTCTGACAAACTTAAAACAACAGAAAGTATAGCACATCCCCAATATGTAGAATTAAACTAGAAATGTAAGTGGGGTATTTCTGTCTGAAAAGTGACATCAATCTAAATCATGATGGGCAAATGAGAACTTCTCAGAGAAAAGCTTAAATATTGTAATTAAATGAAAATGCAAACTACTCAGATTTTAAGCAACATCTGGAGTTGACTGATATGGGAAAAGAATAAACCATGAAGACCCTCAGTCCAACACTGAATGCTCCTGGGAACAGCACAGACCACAAGGACCCTCAGTCCTTGCACTTATTCCCAGGACACACACCTGTACCCACCAGCACTCAGACCACCATCAAGGACATCCTGGGGGCACAAACACCTACCATGATAGACCCAGCACATGGACTGAGTGACATGTTACAGTGACATTACCACAAGTACATTCCCCTGAGTCTTGAGCCCACAGCATCCAACCTGTTTCCAGAAATCCAGGAAATAATTTAAAGCTGCAAACTGCACAAGAACATCTCAGCAGAGACAAAAACGTCTGTAAAACAAATCCATCACAATTGTTTTGACAGCCTTCTGCATAAGCTGACTCTGACCTGACATCATGTCTAACAGGTATGGGCTAAACAGGGTTCCTGCCAACTCTGCATCCCCATCCCCAATAGTGTACATGCAGGAGAGGGACATGCATGGCCACACAGTATGCTCCCGAACACCCCGTCCTTCACCAGGACCCAGGTCCACCAGTGCATCACTGGGTAGACAAGTTCGGGACACAGCCTGGCTGTGAGGATGTCCAACCCTCCTTGCTGTGAAGGCCAGGTGAAGGAGCTGGACACATGCGTGCCAACTTGCTCCTATTGACACCCCCAGGAGAGTCAAATCCACAGACAGAAAGACCAACAGCTTTCACTGGTGGCCAGCAGCACGGACGACGGAATGTTCAGAGTCAGAGGGCAGATGTGCTCCTTCTGCTAGGTCAGCACACTTTATTTATGCCCCACAGATTTCACCCCAGTGACCAATGAACACACTGGGAATGCAGTCTTTGAGTGAATGTCCGTCGGCTACCAGGAGACAAATAGCTAGGGTCCTGTGGGGATCAGGGCACAGGTAGCCACAAGGGTGCCCTGGCGGTAGGTGGGGGTGAATGCTAGGATATGGAATACAGGGAGGGGAGGTGGTTGGAGTGTAGTGGGGCCTCAGAAAGTCCAAACTTTCCAGGAAGGTAAGGCAGTGCCTAGCTTCCCCTGTGTCACAGGTGGCCATGTGCCTGGTCAGAGTGCTTCTCTGAGGGTGCTAGCATATGAAGCCACCTTTCAGCACAGACAGGAAATGCCCCAGGCCATACCCAGGCCTGGCCCCAGCCTAGGAGGACAGGCCAGGGACCAGGAGGCCAGGCACTCAGCAGCCTCTCCCCCCTGAACCCCTTGAGGTCAGAGGTTCAAGGGGACAGTGCTGATTCGCATCCATCAGGTTTGGCCCTAGGTCTGGTCCTGCCAGCCTCACCCAGCTTCCTGCCCACAAATGCCTCCTCCCCAGAGCCTCTACCAGGAAGGATGTGGGAGAGGCCAGACAGCTGAGGGGCAGGAGGGACCTGGTGGGGAGACCCCCAAGGAAGGGTGTGTGTGTGTGTGTGTGTCGGGGGGGGGGGCGGCGCAGGTGCTAAGGGGCAGGAGGACCTGGTGGGGAGACCCCAAAGCTCCTTCAAGTAGCAAGAACAGCAATAGCCTTGCCTGGCAGCCATGCTCTGTGGCTAGCCACTGATCAGTTGACCACGTCACTGCTGGCCCCAAGATGCAGCTCCTGACACAGGCATTGGCAGAGGCCAAGGGTTCAGGTGGGGGCCTCTCTGTCCCGGCCAGTCTCCCTGCCTGAGTCGCTGGCTGGGACCTGGTCTATGCCTGGCCCTACCCAACATGAGCCAAGCACATGGGTGGGAGCCTCCCCTGTCCCCCCGGCCCCAGGCTCGCTCCACGTTCCTGTGACTGAATGGTGTTCCTGGTCTCGCAAGAGTGTGCTATGCAAGTGGCAGGCAGTGGCCGGTGCGGGCACACAGGAAGAGGGCTAGGCCCAGTGGAATTCCACTGGGCTCTTTGGACACAGGCTCTGCCCACGGGACAGAGTGCTGCCTCAGAGAAATCAAGTTTCCTGAGCATTTGTCCTGGTGCTAAAATGGATCTTGCTTGTTGCAGGAAGGACAGAAAGTACAGAGAAACGAAATGCGTTCCCAGGCCTCTCGCCCACACATACAGCTCCCAGATACACTGAGTCGCTGCCCTGGGGTGGATGTGAAGCCCTGTCTAGCCGCTCACAGGGACAGTGGGCAAAAACTGCCAGCCCATAGTCTAAGACCACACTTGGGGTTCACCTGCCCCGAACAGGATGGCCAGCACCCAGTCCAAGACCAGCCACAGCCAAAAACACAGCAAGGGCCAGGGTGGACTCTGCTAGGGGCATAAGGCCTGGACCCTAGTGGACTTGGCCCGGGTTGGGGGAGTGGGACAGGAGAGTTGGGCCTGGGCTGCGGTAGACTCCAGTGAGGGGTAAGGCCTGGACGGGAGTGGACTGGATGGAGAGGGGGCAGGCAAGCCAAGGATTAGGCCTTAGGAGGATATTGGGCCACTGACAGGCCCAAATTCTGCTCAGGGGACAGTTGCCCTGACACTGGGTCCAGGGGCTACAGCATGGAGGTCTGGACTGGATAGGTCAGCAGAGGGGTACAGGTCCCTGCACACACATGGGAGACAGAGGAGGAACCTGGAGGGCAGGGAGAGGGGAGGCCTCAGGACCCTCTCCGGTGGACCTCAGTGAGAGCTCCAACCTCCAACCCCGGCTGCCTCTTCACACCCGGGATCCTCTCAGGTGCTTCCTAAACTGGGACCAAGGCGGGGGCCAGTGTTCCACAACACCCACTATGGGGGCCCGACTCATCAGCCCAGATGGCTCCATGGAAGCGCTGGGTGAAGAATACATACTGTGACCTGGGTTCATTCCCTGGAGACTCGGGCGGGCACCCCGGGCGCCGACACGGAGGAATGCGGGCAGTCGGTGCGTGGGTGCGAGGGGCGCACTACCCACCAGAGTTGGTTCCCGAGCGAGAAGCCACCCGCCCCACTCAGACACGCGAACGCGGGGTCCGGCGGCCGTCTCCATCGGGCACTTACCTGGACAGCGAGTCAGAGGCTTGGGCGCCCCGGGGAAGCGTGCCCGGGCCGGGAGCTGCGGCGGTGTGGCTGCCTGCGCGGGCATCGGGGGACCAGGCGGCGCGGCGGGCTCCAAGGGCGGCCCCACCCCGGCACGCGAGCCGCCCCGCCCCGATCCGCTCGGACGCGGGAGGCGGCAGGGGGCGCCCGCGCACACCCCCGGGGGCCCCGCGGCCGGCGCGCGACGGGCTGGGGTCGCGCCCCTGGGGCTGCAACTGCTGGACAAGGAGCCCGCCCTACCCCGCGCGCTCCATCTCTGGAGTCACAAGCGCGGACTTTCTGCGAGCCACGCGCCCAGAGGGCCCCGCTCTGCGGCCCAGCAGGCCCAGGGGCTGTCCCGGCCCCAGGGTCGCGCCCCCGCACGGCCTGCACCGTCCTTTGGTGACCTCCGAGCGCGCCCCGCGGGGGACTCCGCAATCACCCCTGGTGTTCGCCGGCCCCTCCAACGCCTCCCGCCCCTGACCGGGCTGTCCCCATGATAAGCGCGCGTGATACGTGGTCCCGCACAGCATGGGTGCGGTTCCTTGGCGGCATTTTAAATCCTCAGTTTGATGCCAGGTCAGGGTTTGTGTCCTCCGCCCCGCACCAGGCCGAGGGCGAGGTGCTGGTTTATTCTAACCTGCATGCAGTTGCCGGATCGCCACATCCCTGACCTGTTCTGAAAGTCTCAGGTTCCCACGAGCCACAGGCAACCCCCGGATGACCCCGCCAGGGAAGACTCGGTCCTGACTGTCCCTGAGGGGCTTCTGGGAGGATGCAGGCAGCTCCCTGGACTGTGTCTGCCAGGGGCCCTTGGATGCTCTTGCAACCTCACCTTCAAGGCCCTCTGCCCTGCATACTCCTCACTTCTACCAGATGGGTCACTTGTCCTCACTGGACTGCCTGCAGTCCCCCAGAGCCATCATACTGGACATGCCGGGTGTACAGGAGAGCCAGGGGTGGCCATGGTGGGAGTGTTATCTCTGACTGCTGGCAGGAACTTGGGCAGGTCCCCAGGTGCACATGGAACTCCCCTGGGCTGAGTTAGCTCTGGGCTGACTGCAGCCACCACTGTCTGAAGGTAACCTGGGCTCCCCTATGGAAGTACAGTTCCAAGTCCTAAGTCCCAGCTATTCCACTTCCCATCCAGCTCCCTGCTTGCGGCCTGGGAAGGCAGTGGAGGATAGTCCAAGTCCTTGGGACCCTGCACCTGTATGGGAGACCTGTAGGGGGTTCCTGGCTTCTGGCTTCAGCTCAGCTCTGGCCATTGTAGCCATTTAGGGAGTGAACCAGCAGATGGAAGACCTCTCTCTCTCTCTAATCCTTTCAAGTAAAATAAATCTTAAATGTGCAGTCATTGATTTCACCAAGATGTGGTCAGAAACATGGCCGCCCCATGGCCAGTTTGTCACCCAGACCTGCGAGTTCATGGGGACTGGGGCTGAGACAGCAGCCCACGGATGGCGCCTCCCTCAGGTAGGGGCTGCTGTGTTCTAAAGGCTGCTCTGTACTCAAAGTGGGTCAGGTGTGATGGGAGGTGTCCTAATTTCCCAGCTCCTCCTACCCTACTCTGGGCAATAGGAAAACCACCCTGGAGGAAAGGAGACCAAGGCAGCAGCAGGTATAGGAAGGTGGAGCCCAACCTGGGGTGGGTCAGTGGATGGCGTTTTCATTGTCTAAAGCCCTTCCTGATGAGTGGGGCCCAGATCCTGATGACCAATGTGTCTAGGCCCTTGGAAGTCCTCTCACCCACTGTCCCTCTTCTATGTGTGGGCATGGGCCAGGTGAACTCTGGTGAGCTCAAGAAGGGATCCACCTCTCAGTCCATCCTGGCCACTCCCGGGTCATTTCTGATGGTGGAGCCACTGTGGTCAGGTTGTGGCTGTGAATGTGTGAGTGATCAAGACAGACCAGTGCTGCAGGTGGGGAAACAAGAGGATCCAGGGTCTGCTCCTTGACAATGCCTGGTCACTGGGAATGGATACAGGGCACAACCGGGGGACAGAGCCACAGGGCCGGCAACACCAGACCTGCCCCCGCAGCAGCCTCCTCCACAGCTGCCCAGTGCCAACTCTGGCCCTCTTGGCCATAGCAGGTCCTTCCTGCCAGAAGCTTGAGGCTGGTAGTGGTGTGATTACACTGCCCCCGTGTGGCCGAGCTGCAAGCCAACACTTGGGGTGCTTGTCCAGTTTCCAGGTTCCTTCTGTTTAGCAGTCGTTACAGGGTTGTCCACCTGCACACCCAGACTACTTCCCACTATTGTTCATCACCCCATCAGCTGGTTTACAGCAGAAACCTCTCCAGAACTCAGTCCTCGCAAGCTCACAGGGTTTTATCCTGACAGGCCCTCCCCCCACACGTTCCCCTAAGCAGACCCAGGACACATACCTGAGCACACACACCTGTGGGGCTCTGAGAAATACACACTTTGAGTTTGAACCCTAATCCACCCACAGTCAACTTTGCCTGGTTGTCACCTTCCTTCAGGAAATACCAAGTTCATCACAACTGACACAAGCCTCCTTGCAGCAGCTGACACAGGAGGTGGACACCTGACATCCAGTGGTCTACCAGGCCCAAGGGGTGGCTACCATCATGCAGCTGGGGCAGGTGCTGTAGCAAGAATCGGTCCTTTCCCTGGAGATCCTGGCTAAGGAGCATATCCAGGCCAAGGGTGCTACAAGTCTGCTGAGAGACAGGCAGGCAGGGGAGGCAGCATGGGCCTGGGGGAGGGGGAACAAGTGGGCAGGGAGGGCAGCAAGGTCTTGAGGATCTGGGCTGCACCTGTGCTCAAATGGCTCAGTGTGGGACTTGGATGTGGGCAGGGTGAATGAACCTGGGAAAGGTGAGTGGCTATGTGGGATAGTGTTGGGGCAGGTCTCCAGACAGGTGATAGAATGCTGAGGCTGGGTGCCCGTGGGGCCGAGACTTTATTGGTGACCACCTTAGTAGGGAAACTCAACATCGAAATGCCAGTGATGCCAACAGCCAAGGAGCCCCAGATGAAGGGATAAGGTTGGCATGAACCCCTGGCTAGTGGCATCTGAAACTACTAGGCCACCAGAGTCCCCCTGAAGCATGACTTTCTGATTCCTCCAACTCCAGCCCCTCCATGGCCTAGGGTGAGCTGACATCCACTGCTTTCCACATAGGCACCAGGGGAGGGGGCTGTCCTCTGTTGAGCCGAGCATGGTGGATGCCAAGGTGCAGAAAACAAGCCCCCACATCAACCAAGTTGGCAGACATGGGGCCAATACTCCCGGCCTACAACATCTGGGAGTGTGGAAGTTCATTCCCAGAGAGCCCTGTGCACCAAGCAAGTGTGACAGGTGGCAAGGGGGCATGCACCTTCAGATGCTGGCTTCCCTAGCAGGCATTTTTCCAGAAGCTTCCCCATGAGCATGGTGACATGGAGAATGGCATGGACGAAGGGAGGGAAGGACTTGTGTCAAGCAGGTGTTGGTACAGAAGCTGCAACCCCAAGTTGCAGATGCCAGGGAACACAGCTTGAGGAGAAGCTAAGGCAGCCAAACATTATGTTCTGTCCTTGGGAGGGTAGGGGGACAGCTGGGGACCCCCAGGTCACCTGAGACGACAGAATGTTGAGGCTGGGGCGGAGCAAGAGTTCTTGGTCCCGAGGTACCTGAGCAGCTAGCTCTCCTGGAATGACTGCGGTGTCTGGCCTTAGGCTTGCCCCAGCATGGGGCATGAGACATGAGAAGCAACCAGGCTGGGTTAGCATCAGGCAAGTGACATGGCCATGGCAGAGCTGACAGAAATGGCCATGGGTTGACAGCCTATGAGGCTACCGTACCTTATGATCTATGTGTAAAAATGTAATTTAAGGTGCTGGTGTTGTGGCATAGGCATGTTAAGGTGTCACCTTCTACACCGGCACCCCACATGGGTGCTTGTTCTCTGCTATGGACTGGGAAAGCAGCAGAAGTTGGTCAAAGCTACTGGCCCTTGCACCCATGAGGGAGACCGGGAAAGAGGCTCCTGGCTTTTAGTTCAGCTCAGATTCAGTCCTTTTGACCACAGAGGCAGTGAACCAGCAGACGAAGACCTCTCTTTCTCTGTAACTCTGCCTTTCAAATAATAAAGCGAGAACCTTTAATTAAGACAGAGACAAGGTAGTGTGGTTAAACTCCCCTATCTGGGCAGAGAAGTCTTACACAACTTAAACCCTGGCCTGAAACAGAAAGCCACAGCTTTGCTGGGCTTCCGGAGACCACCTCTTGGGTGTTCTAGGCAAGCAGGTCTGAGCTGGCTGTTGCCAGGCAAGGCCTGGCATGATCAAGACATGGTGTGTTCTCTGAAGTTCATTGGTACCTGTTACTTTATTGTTATATTACATATTCCATCAGATCTAATAAACTCCTCTTTACAAAGTAAGGCACATGAAAAGCCTGTGTAAGCTCTGTGCGTTTAAGGTCTCCACTGGCTAAGAAACCATTTTCTCTACAGAACTGGTACCTGGATATGAACATGATACATTTTCTGTAAGCATAATTGCTGACACATTGTCTCATCATGACATTTTCACCTTGTGGCACAATTAGTCACCAAAGCCAACATGTACACCCTAAGGTTAGGGTTCCAACAGTAGCGTTTGCTTACAAGGACATGTTATAATTGAGAGAATAGTAGGCAGCTATCCACATATGTACAACCGGTCCCCAGGTAGATTCTATAAAATCTAACATCTGTGGCTCCACTCCATTGAAAGGTCAGAAATTTGGCATTTCCAGTCTTTCTTCTGTGGTCATGCTGTCATTCAGAGGTGACGTCACACAACACTGAAGAACATGGACGGCTGATGTCGCCAAAGTCATACGATGCTGAAGACCATGGAAAGATACTGCTCATAGGACACCTGGATCCAGCCATCCTGATCCGTGTCATAGCGTCGGAATATGTCCGTCAGCCTCTGGGGATACACAGAGCAGCAGGCCATCAGACCTTGATGCAGATAGCAGAACAGGCTCACCAGGTAGAGCCCCAAGGTAGGTGAGGTCCAGTTTCAGGAACAGGCACCTCACCTCCCACACCTGACTCCTCACAGTGGGAACTTCTACCTGCGGACTGGGATGCAGGACAGGCCCGGCCTGCCAAAGATGGGAGGGTAGCCTGGCCCTTCCCTATACTTTGAGATTGTCTGTGTGTGTGGGCTCAGGGTCCCCCTCCCACCCATCTCCAGCCAATCAGAGGAGCCTGGCCATCATAACCTGTAACAGGAAGGTCCAGGGCCCCTTCTGAATGACATACTCGGAACTGTGGTAACCAGAGAATAGGCATGCCACAGCACAATTCTGTGTAGCTCAGACAGGCCAGGATCCGAGGACGAGCCACCTCCCCATGACCCTGCAGGGATACAGATCTCTACCACCCATACAAAAGTCGGCATTGCCAGCACCTGGGAAGCTGGTGTGCACTCCAATGCTCACACTGCTAAGTGATATGCCCAGAGTGAGCGTGCAACCTGTGATTAACACTCCAGTGGACCTTGTGGGGGTATGCAGTGGTACAGCAGGCTGATCCTTTACCTGTGGCACTCGCATCCCATGGGGGCGCCCACAGAGAGGGAAGTGGTGGATGGCTCAAGTCCACGGGCCCCTGCACCCATGTAAGATGCCTGGAAGAAGCTCCTGGCTCTCAGCTTGGATCAGCTCAGTTCTGCCTCTAGTAGTCAGGAGAGTCAACCAGTGGATGAAAGACCCTTTATTTCTCCTCTATAAAAAATATGCTTTTCAGGCTCAGCACAATAGCATAATGGTTAAGGTCTTCGCCTTGAATGTGCCGGGATCCCAGATGGGCGCCGGTTCTAATCCAGGCAGCTCCACGTCCCATCTAGCTCCCTGCTTGTGGCCTGGAGAGCAGTCAAGGACGGCCCTAAGTCTTGGGACCCTGCACTCGCGTGGGAGACCTGGAAAGAAGTTCCTGGCTTCGGATCAGCGCAGCACCAGCCGTTGCGGCCACTTGGGGAGTGAATCATCAGATGGAAGATCTTCCTCTCTGTCTCTCTGGACATCTGCCTTTCCAATGAAATAAATAAATCTTTAAAAAAATATATGCTTTTCAAATTAAAACAAATGAATCTTTAAAAAACCCAAAATTCACACTGGCATCCTATATGGCAGTGGTTGGCTTGGACTCTTTTTTGTTTTTAAGATTTATTTATTTTATTGGAAAGTCAGATATACAGAGAGGACAGCCAGAGAGGAAGATTTTCTGTCCGATGATTCACTCCCCAAGTGACTGCAACGGCCAGTGCTGTGCCGCTCCAAAGCCAGGTGCCAAGAATCTCCTCCAGGTCTCCCACATGGGTGCATGGTCCCAAGGCTTTGGGCTGTCCTCGACTGCTTTCCCAGGCCACAAGCAGGGAGCTGGATGGGAAGTGGAATATCTTAGATGCACCCATCTGGGATGCCGGTGCCTTAGATGAAGGATTAGTCTGTTCAGCTACCAATCAGTTAAGAAACCACTGCATTTCTAAAACTGTAGACCCTGGATCTCAAACAGCAGCAGGGGCTGCAAGGAAATAGGTCAGGTCCTCGTTCTGCCCTGTCTGACAGGCACCTTGCATGTTCTGCCTTGGTTTTTCCCCTTTGGCATCAGCCAATGATGAAGCAGCTCTGAGATTTCAGTGTGTTCTCTCAGACTGAAGTTTGTGTAGAGGCACAGAGCACTCAGAGAAAGGGCCTCCTCCAAATCGACTGCTGCATACCTCCAAGGCAGGAACATGATGTTGTCGGCATGCCCATTGTAGAAGCAGTTACCTCTGCAAAGACCAGACCACACCACTCCAGCCTGATGGCCATGCCCTTCCAGCACCCAGTGGCCTCTGCTCACCTGCAGGACGATGCACCCCTGGATGAAGTCATCAAAAGCAATCTGCCCCCGTCCCTGCCGGTCAAACTTGCGGATGAGGATGTCGTGGAACTGGTCAGAGAGCCGATAGCCTTAAAGAGGAGACCAGTGTCAGTGGTAGGCTGGGGCAGGTGGAGGGAAACAACTGCAAATCCACTGAGAGCCACACAGCCCTCTGGCAAGACTCAGAGACCAGCACTGTCCACTCCCTGCAAGGAACACCATGGCAGAGCTGTTCTGGAAACCCACCAAAGTCCTGTATGACCAACTATATGACCAGTTCCCTGTCAAGTAGCACAGAAGGGAACTGGTGAATACCTGCCTACAAGGAGCGAATCCATGCAACATTAGAACAACCTCAACTTCTCTCACAGGCCCCGAAATGCTCCAATTTATTTCAAATTTACCAGAGTTTCTGGTAGGGCCATAGCCCCAGGGCTGCTTCAGATGGGAACACTCCTTGCCTGTCTCCTTCCTTCCACCATTCCTATCTATCGGCTGAGCTGTCCTCATTGAGAGAGGAGCAGGTGATAAAGCAGTCCCATTGGGCCCAGTGTGGTAGGCTAATGGCTAAAGTCCTCGCCTTGCATGTGCCAGGATCCCACATGAGTGCTGGTTCATGTCCCAGCTGCTCCACTTCCCATCCAGCTCCCTGCTTGTGGCCTGAGAAAGCAGTCAAGGACGGCCCAAAGCCTTGGGACCCTGCACTCATGTGGAGACCTGGAAGATGCTTCTGGCTCCTGATCAGCTCAGCTCCAGCCCTTGTGGCCACTGGGAATTAATCCGCAGACAGAGTACTTTTCTCTCTGTAGATCTGACTTTCCAATAAAACAAACAGCCCTACTGGTTTTCAGTCTCATGGCATATTCGTAAGGATGTGTACATTTTTTGTCTAAGTGAATTTCATAGTCAATTACCTGTAGGAAAACTCACTGTTTTACTGATAAAGACTCAAACACACCCACAGGTACACAGCATCTTCAGGAGCATTCAGGGCACACTGTGGCCCTAACTACATGAGGACCATTTCACAGCACTCCACAGGCTGAGCAGAAGACAGGAGCTTGGTAGTGCTAGCGACAGCAGAGTAGGGAGTATATGTTTTGCTTCGTAGGCTGACTCCTTCAACATCACGCCCCTGCTGGTGCGAGCAGTAATGACTGGGACAGCAGAGAGGATTCTGTCACTGCCTGCCCTGACTGGCCATGCGTCGATATCTCCATGATGTTCTCAGTCTGACAAGGACACCAAGGCCTGGTAGGCATCCTCTGCGTTAGTGTTGTCTCATGTACACCCACTGAGCTCATTCCCAGAACCAGAGCCTGGTGGGATCTCACAGCACTCCAGGCAACCACTCAGGGATGTGCCTTCCCAGAGGGGAAGCCTGACCAAGGCAAACAAGGTCAGGTGTACTGCAGTTCCAATTTAGAGCGACCTCTCCCTGCCCTGCCCCAAGTCTGGCCCACAGCTGGTGAGCTCTGGAAGTAGTTCTGACTCACCCAATGGGCCAGCTCAAAGGAAAGGAGAGGGAGAGTAGAAAAGAGCTCCAAGAGAGGGCAGGAGCCATCCTAACCCTACAACCCACCCTCAGACTCAACAAGGTGAGATCGTTAGACATAATCTAACTTTTGTTTTCTACAGGAAGCACTTTCATGTAAGCAGCCTTTTAAGTAAAACAAAGCTTGTGCTTCACAGCTGGATGAAACATCTGAAGGAATTGTCCAAACCTGCATCTGCTGCAGCCATGGCCTTGGTCAGGTTTCTCCACTCCCCAGGGTGCATTCAAGGGGTCATTCCACCTGACAGACCCTTGGATGCATCCTGGACAGGTGCCATGAACACTAAGAGAAGCACGGCACACGGCAACAGGCTGAAGCCTGACACAAACACACACACACACACACACACACACACGGAATACACCTGAGAATGGGCACAGAACTGCACAACTCTAACCCAATGTTCCTGTGGGGCATTTCATCTTTTCTTTCTTGTATTTGGATGTAACATGAAGTGTAATGTGCCCCACACCATCTTATTTTATTCAACCACGTTAACCACATTCTCAGTTTTGCTGGTGAAACCACTCCAGTCCACACAACACAGACAATGTGCATAGCCCTTATCTCATTTCTGATGAAAAAACTGAAGGAAGTGAGGGATCCTAACAAACCACACACAGGAAGTGAGAAATCCTCAAAGACCACAAAATCTCCATGTCAAACGTAAGCCTTCATGATACAAATATACCAAAATATGAACCTGTACAATACAAACAGAAACATTACACAGACTCAGTGAAAAACATCAGTAACTGGAACAAAATCACAAAGAACCTGCAGTGGTTCCCAGGCTTCACAATGAAGGTAAGTGAATTACCAAAACCTGAGAGTGCTTGCTTGAGCTCGTTCTTGTCGATCATCCCTGAGTTGTCCCGGTCATAGGTGCGGAACACGTTCTGCCAGTCAGTGATATACTTCCACACGCCTGTGAACTCACTGAAATTCACGCCAGCCTTGTTCTCTCGGTCAAACATAGCTGAGACAAGAGAGAATAGACACACTGCACATCAGGTCAAATGCCTACATCGCACAACAAGAGACCCACCTCTGGCTTCCAAGCAACCTTGGCTCCTCTGGAGACTGGCGAGGTGCCCAGCCTTTTAATCACAGTGCTGGCTCATGAACACTGTCTGCTGAATTGTTGTATTACCTGCAGTGTGAAGCCAAAACACATGCAGACTCAGAACAACTGTGCTGTGGCCCTGGTTCTAGGCCCAGCTGCTTCACTTCCAATCCAGTTTCCTGCCAATACACCTGGGAAAGCAGCAAAAGAAGGCCCAGATACTTTGGACCCTGTTGTCCAACTTGAAAAGCTCCTAGCTCCTGGCTTCAGATCAGCCAAGCTCCAACTGCTGTGGTCATTTGGAGAGTAAACTGGCAGATGGGGGCTGGGTGCAGTAGTCTAGTGGCTAAAGTCCTTGCCTTACATGCACTGGGATCCCATATGGGCGGTTCTAGTCCTGGCAGCCCCACTTCCCATCCAGCTCCCTGCTTGTGGCCTGGGAAAGCAGTCAAGAATGGCCCAAAGCCTTGGGACCCTGCTCCTGCGTGGGAGACCAGGAAGAGCTCCTGGCTCCGGATTGGCTCAGCTTCAGCCGTTGCGGCCGCTTGGGGAGTGAACCATTGGACAGAAGATCTTCCTCTCTGTCTCTCCTCCTCTCTGTATATCCGCCTTTCCAATGAAAAAGTAATAATAATAAAAAAAAATCACAGTATTACTATGAGATTGTAACACCAATGTTATTGGTTGCATCAGAAGTGACTAGCATTCGTTTAAATTTCACATACTAAAAATTTGTGTAGAGAAGAGCACCAGTGTTTCTTCTGACAACCAGCCACACTTGCAGCCAGGGGCGAGACAAGACTGTGCTTAGAGGGCAGAGTATACAGGTAGCTGCCTCACTTGATCACACTTAAGAACCCAGATCAGCAGTCACTATGGGCGATAGAACTCAGCACAGGAGCAGATCCCTGTACCTGTCAGCATCTCCCTGGACTTAAGGCAAAGTTTCTGCCAGCACAGGATGGTAAGCTACCAAACAAGGAGACAGTATTGACTCAGATGCTACCACAGAGAAGTCAGAGAATTCCCACAGGGCCACACATGGCAAGTGACAGATCCTAGAGAACACACACGGGAAGTGAGGGATTCTAGTGATCACATGCAATAAAGGGAGGGATCTAAACACAAGATACTCACAAGGCTACAGTTGTGCAGTAAGCTGACTGAAACAAGCAGCAGTCCCATTGGGAAACACTGGACACAGGAAGTGAGAGGACTAAGCTCACAGCTTGAAAACAAGGCAATGGGAGCAAAGATGCAGAGAAGAGGCAAGGAAAAGACCAGTCCTGAACAACAGACAAAGAGCGGGGTCAGAGCCCTTCCAGATGACTCGCAGCTGCAGGGACTCTCCTACACTTGGAGTTCAGTTCAAGATCCTGCTGTTTGGGCAGCCAGGGAGGCCGAGAGGAGAATTCCTACCCAGCATCACATGAACGAAGCAAACCCTTCTGCAGGATATACCCCTGGTTCAGGTCATGTCTACATGAAGTTCAAACACCAATCCAAAAAGAAATTGTCCAGGAGCACCCTTCCCAGGATCTCACACTGATATCAAGAATACAAGGCAAACTGAGTGCCATACTAAGGTCTTCGTCACGGAAATGAGCCTTGTGAGAAAACTATGCATAGGTTTCAAAATGCTTCGTATTCAAACACATCCTCTGATTCCACATTCCAGACTCTGGTATACTCTCTCCTGCTCTTTCACAAACATACACACTTACCTTCAACTTAAAAAAAAAAAATCTTGAAACTAAGACTAACAAATGTACAAGTGGTAAGAGACTACACACACATACACACACACACACACACACACCAAGAAAGACTTTGGATAAGCAAATAGTAATTAGGAATTAGAAACAAAAGGGATGGGTCAAATTAGAAATAAAAAGTCTGGGCCTCGCGCAGTAGCCTAGTAGCTAAACTCCTCGCTTTGCATGCACCAGGATCCTATTGGGCACTGGTTCAGATCCTGGAAGCTCCACTTCCCTTCCAGCTCCTTGCTTGTGGCCTGGGAAAGCATCAGATGGCCCAAAGCCTTGGGACCCTGAAATCATGTGGGAGACTGGAAAGAAGCTCCTGGCTTTGGATTAGCTCAGCTCCAGCCGTTGCACCCACTTGGGGGGGGCAGTGAACCAGTGGATAAAAGATCTTTTCCTTCTTTCTGTCTCTCCTCTCTGTAAATCTGACTTTCCAATAAAAACAAATAAATAATAAATAAATAAAAATCTGTGAAAGCAAACACATACCCACATACACAGAAGACAGGACAGAGCTTGGGGAAAAGTTTGAGGTTCAATGTCCTACTCCCTGCACTGTCTCACAGGTGGGGGTTTGGGGACAGTGAAGCCACACACAATGAGAGGCACAGTCCTGTCCAGGCAGTCTCAGGTTCCACAGCCCAGGCCCACAGATACTCACATATGATTGATCTCACAGTCACAGGGTTAAATGGAGTCCATGTACCTGGAATAAACAGCAAACAACCACAATTAAAACATTTTACAGGGACTCTCTGGGAGGTGTTTTGGCTGCCATGACCACAGGAAAGTGCTGTAAGCATTGTGGATCTAGTGTCCTGCCAGACACTCAATGCTGACTACAATTATGTAAAGCTGGAGGCTCACTCTCCCCAAGATATAACCAAAAAATCATCTCACGTTACCTTAACACACACTGAATTTTCCAGGCATGCGGGGACCAGGTAAGCTGAGAAGGCAGCAATGGTTTCACTCTCATCACCATTGTCTATGGCATGGGAGTTGCCAAGATGCCCAGAGCACAGGCCCCAGCAGCTGTGTTGAAGGCAGCATGGAGCACGGGACTCATGGCAGACTACTTCCTCATGGTTTCCCCACTTGTGGAGTCCTCCTAAGCTGCAGTCTGTTTTTTGGGAACACTGCTGGTCCTGAAAACTCAGCCACTGCTCCACTGAGAGGACGTGAAGCTCACCATATGCCCAAGATTCACAGTGACGTGTCCATTTACCAGTTTTCACACTCACTGAAAGACTTAAAAAGAACTTTTTAAGTAGGGGCACTCAGTGGCCCTAACCAGCCCTACACTCTGTGGAGCCAGGCAGTCATACTTGTATTCCTGGTCAGCAGTTTTGCCTGGAATGCATGTGGCTGGGTCTGCAATACCGCAGCCCTTGCATTCCTGTACTCTGGGCTCACACAACTCAGCCCAGAGAAATCTCCAGAAACACACACCTGACATTTCAACCTAGGCTCCTTCTGTGGGAAGCTTTTTCTGGGGACCCTATAACCCCCTGGCCACATGATTCTTCTACTCCTCTTGGGACCTCAGGCCCAAGTATAGGGAAGGTGCACTCCTCCCACAGAGGAGGGACACCTGTCTCTGTGTCCACTGCACAGATCTGCAAGCTGCAGGAGCCTCTTGTATAGATGTTTAGGGAGCAGTGGGCAGGAGTATGTACAGAAAAGCATTACTGAAAAATGGTTAAAAAGAAACCCACAAGGCCAAGTCAGAGAGGTAGTTTCAGACATGGGAACAGCACTTTCTCTTCCCATTGTACTTGGGCTCCCGTTCCTGTCCTTCTTGTTGTGTGCCGACTTGCAGTGATCACACATGGGAGAACCTACCTAACCCCCAACAGAAGCCCTGGCAGCCAATCCCAATACTGCAAGGCCTCCAGTTCTCTGTTTTTCCAGCTGCGACCTCCTTTTTCTATGCATGTATGTGGATCAGGAGCAGCGCACCTAACATCTGGAGGTGTAGCTGCCTGCAGGAGGCAGACATCTCATGCGGCCTTGTCAGGCAATGGCACACTGATGGGTTCTGCACTGAATAACACTGTGAGGACACAGAGAGGTATACTATGAAGGCAGTCTGGATCAAAAAAAAAAAAAAAATCAAAGCTCAAGTTGATGCCAACAATCCAACCACAGGGTACTTGACAGTTACACTGAAATCAAAGAACACTGCTGACAGTAGTCAGCAGACTCATTGGCAGATTCAGTCCCACCCAGGAAGTGACTAACAACAGTACGGTCCTTTTTTTAAAAAAAAAAAATTATTTATTTTTATTACAAAGTCAGATATACAGAGGAGGAGAAACAGAGAGGAAGATCTTTCGTCCAATCATTCACTCCCCAAGTGACTGCAATGGCCAGAGCTCTGCCAATCCAAAGCCAGGAGCCAGGAACCTCCTCCAGGTCTCCCACATGGGTGCATGGTCCCAAGGCTTTGAGCCTTCCTCAATTGCTTTCCCAGGCCATAAGCAGGGAGCTGGATGGGAAGCAGGCTGCCGAAATTAGAACCAGTGCCCATCTGGGATCCCAGTATGTTCAAGGCGAGGACTTTAGCCACTAGGCCACCGCGCCAGGCCCAGTAGGGTCCTTAATCTCTTTCTATAGTGGCTTACCACTGAGAGGTCTAACTCCCTGGAACAAGCAGCATTTCCCATTCATGTCGAAAAATGTTATAGAAATGCTGACACACAGGCATGTGAGGGAAAGGTTCAAACAGCATGCACAGAGGGCTGTAACTCAGTGAGGGGAAGGGTTGAGAGCAGGTCCACAGTGCTTTGGAAGCCTCCAAAGCGCAAGGAGCCAGTCTGCAGTGTATGCACTGATCACACACTGTCAGTCCATAGGGGAGTAAGCGTGTACTGCTCACACACTGCCAGTCTTCAGGGGGAGTAAGCATGTACTATCCATACACCGTCAGTCTGTGAAGGAGTAAGTGGGTATTGCTCACATACAGTCAGTCTGTGAGGAAGTAAGCATGTACTGCTCACACTTGGTTAGTCTGTGGGAGTAAGCATGTACTGCTCACACTTGGTTAGTCTGAGGGAGTAAGCATGTACTGCTCACACATGGTCAATCTGAGGAAGTAAGTGTGTACTGCTCACACATGGTCAGTCCATGCGGAAGTAACTGTGTACTGTTCACACACATTCTGAGGGAGTAAGTGTATACTGCTCACACACAGTCAGTCTGCAGGGTTGGTAGGCCTGTACTGTCACACTCATCAGGACAAATGTTTGACCACCACTCCCAGTATAGAAAGTTGCAAAAAACCTGAACCTGTGGAATATTCTCAAAACTGAAAAGCAAAGAACAAAGTGGATCACAAAGCTTTCATCATTCACTTGAAACTACTGGACAGAAAGTCTCTGAAGTAGGGTCCTGGATGCACACAGCATGTGAAAAGATTAACCACCCAACACGGATTAAACTACTGGACAGAAAGTCTCTGAAGTAGGTCCTGGATGCGCACAGCATGTGAAAAGATCAACCACCCAACACGGATTAAACTTTCAGCCAGGCTTTGCCAAATTGTAGACTGCTGGACTTGGTACTTAGTACACTGTCTTGTACCTTCCCTAAGTGCCAATCAAGCACTGGGACATGCTGACCAAAGACAAGAAGAGTTTAGGAGATGATGCTGTGGTTTAGCAAGTAAAACTGCTGCCTCCAGTGCCAACATCCTATAGGGGCAGCAGTTTGAGGCCTGGTTGTTCCACTTCCCCATCCAGCTCCTTGCGCCTGGCCTGTGAAAGTAGCAGAGGATAAATTAAATTTTGGGGCCACTGCACCTACATGGGAGGCCTGGAGGAAGCTCCTGGCTCCTAGCTTCAGACCAGCCCAGCTCTGGCTGTTCCGGCTATTTGGGGAGTGAACCAGCATGTGGAAGATCAATTTTCTTTCTCTCCTTCTCTCTGTAAATCTGCCTTTCAAATTAAAAAATCTTTTAAAAAATATTTTAAAAGATTAAAAAGAGGAAGAAGGGAAGCGACTGGGATTCATGCAGTGCTTCAGGAAGGGATTCTGGCAAAGCAAGCAGTGGCTTGATTCCCAGAGCTGGTCCTTGTTGTAAGTTCTTGAATGTTCTATGGGTATTATCAAGCTTTTTTTTTTTAATTTTTAAAGATTTGTTTATTTATTGGAAAGTCAGATATACAGAGAGGAGGAGAGACAGAGGGGAAGATCTTCCATCTGATGATTCACTCCCCAAATGAGCACAATGGCCGATGCTATGCCGATCCGAAGCCAGGATCCAGGAACTTCTTCCAGGTATCCCACACGGGTGCAGAGTCCCAAAGCACTGGGCCATCCTCGACTGCTTTCCCAGACCACAAGCAGGGAGCTGGATGGGAAGTGGAGCTGCCGGGATTAGAACTGGTGCCCATCTGGGATCCCGGCACGTTCAAGGCGAGGACCTTGGCCGCTAGGCCATACCGCTGGGCCCGCTTTTTTTTTTTAAGAAAGAAGGAAAGAAGGAAGGAAGGAAGAGGAAAAAAGGAAGTAACATTCACTTGTTTATCTGAAAGACAGAGTTATGGGAGATAGGGGAGAGGGAGAGACAGAAACAGATCTTTCATCTGTTGGTTTACTTCCCAAGCAGCTGCAACAGCTAGAGCTGCATCAGCCTGAACCCAGGAGCTTCCTCCAGGTCGTTCACGTGGGTACAGAGGTCCAAGGAATTGAGCTCATTGGGGAAGTAGAGCAACCAGGCCTCAAGTTGGCATCCACATGGGATGCTGGCACTGTAGACAGTAGTTTTACTTGCTAAACCACAGCATCATCTCCTAAACTCTTCTTGTCTTTGGTCAGCATGTCCCAGTGCTTGATTGGCACTTAGGGAAGGTACAAGACAGTATACTAAGTACCAAGTCCAGCAGTCTACAATTTGGCAAAGCTTGGCTGAAAACTAGAACTGGTGCCCATATGAAATGCCAGCAGAGGATTAGCATGTTATGCCACCATGCTCTCTCTTCTAATCCATCTCCTGCTAATGTGCCTGAGAAAGCAGAAAATGGCCCAACCGCTTAAGCCCATGCACCCATGTGAGAGACCTAGCATGAGTCCTGGGTTCCTGGTTTTGGCCTGGCCCAGCTTTGGTTATTGCAGCCATTTCGGGCAGTTAACCAGTGGATGGAATATCTCTCTTCTCTGTTTCTCCCCCTCTCTGTATCTCATTGCCTGTCAAATAAGTAAATAAATCTTTCCAAAAGAAAAACAACAACAAAGACCCAGGGTTAGGGTACTTCCTAGTTTCCTGGAAACAAGCTGCACAAACACTTGATAACCACCACTGGGATCCTGGGCTCATTGGAAATCACAGGTGTTACTGTGAGACACAGAACCTTCAGCTCAATACAAATGATTAGAAAATCACTAAATGCCCAGTGTGCGCCAACCGAGAGGGGCTCCCTTATGACTCGGGTTGCAACACTGTGAGGCAGTGTCCAGCACTCCTTCATCCAGTGTCCTCCAACATCAAGCTGCTTTCCACTAACGCACACGAACCTCCTGGCATTTCCATCACATCCTAACAATGAGCCCTTTCCTGGCTTCAATGGCACCTCTGGAAAGCCAGGTTAGTGCAACTTTCAGAAAGGCCATTGCACTTGGTCCTTTAATGAAGCAATGTTCCATTCACATTCCTCAGAGTTCACCTGCAGAAACCAACAGGTACAGAATTCTGAAGAGAGCCCCTTTATTTCATAACCCAACTGCCTTCTCACTTTCAGCAGCTCCTGTAGTGACCAGAATGACCTCTGGATGCTGCCTGGACCTTCTGTAGTACCCTACCAGGGTCTCTGACTGTTCCTTCCATGCCCGTGGGGATGCCCTCCAGGGCTCACCTGAGGAAGTCAAGGACTTTTTCTGTACCTTATGGAATTCCCCTTGCAGAGCCAATGTGCTTTTCTAGCCCCTAAAATCTACACAGCAGCTTCTACTTTGACACATTTTGCTGGCTCAGCCAGGCTCAGTAATCACCAGGGAAACCAGTGATTGATTAATTAATTAAAAATGACTACAGGGTAGTCAAAAAGAGAACAAGAATCCTTTCTCGAGCCCCAGGCTTGCAGACCGGGAATCATTTTCCAGAATCTAACCCTAACTTACTGGTTTGGGAATCAGTGATCAGCCTGCCTGCTGACTTTGACGCTAACTACCTTCACCTGCCGCCCTGCCCTTTCCAACCCTTGCTTCAAGGTCCCCCTCCAAGGCGAGACGAGCCCTTGCTCCAGGGCTGTGGGTCAAGTCCGCACGGTTTCTCAGTACACCCGGTAGCCACTCCACACAGCAAACCAATAACACCCATTGAGCACCAAGTCATCAGTGCCTAGGAGACCCCCAATGTCCACTTACCATTGGACAGCGCCTGCTGAAGCTCGTTGTCCGAGATCACCCCGCTCCTGTCTTTATCAACTCTACAAGACCAAAACGACCAGGTAAGCCGGCCCCTTCCCGCAGCACGCCAGGGATGTGCTCGGGCCGGACCGACTACGTGTCGGTTCCCTCCCTCGCCGTCCTCGCCCGGGAAGCGGGCAAACCCGCCCTCCACATCCATCGGGGACTTCCGGGCTCAGACTTGCCCGAGACTGAATCGCAGCCTCCGCCCCCGCCTCCGGCTCCTCCAGCCCGCTGGAGCGGCCGGGACGCGCGCCCCTTGCCCTCCCTCGCCAACGGGAAGACTGGAGGCCACTACAGGCGGGGCCCGGGCGCAGGAGGGTCTGACAAGGGCGCCGGGGAGGCCCCCCGGGAGCAGGAACCGCTCGCCACTCCGAGATCGTGGCGGCCTCACCTCTGGAAGACGTTCCACAGAAAGCTCTGGTCCGGGAGCGCCGCGCCCGCGGCAGGGCCGGGGCCGGCCCCGGGACCGGGGCGGTAGGAGTAGGCAGCCATCAGCCGAGGGAGCACCGGGCTGAAGCACCTAGTGTGGAGCGAACGACTCGGGGCGACTCCGCTTCCGCCTCCAGAGGGCGGGGCTTGAACACGCCACTTCCAGGGACACAGGAAGTGCGAACTCCGAGTCACGCGGCCCGGCGAAGTCCAGTTCGGGTCCTGTACTTTGCCGATAAATGAGCACTTCTGCGCGTGCGCCGTACGGCCTGTGTGTCAGGAAAGCCGGGAGGGAGACGCGCCCTTGCGGGGACCGGAGAGCAGCTGCGGGCTGCGGCGCTCCCTTCCGGCCCGGGGCGGCGCCCGTCTTGCCCGCGCTGTTTCCTCACAGAAAGGCTGCCCGGTGCCCAGGGCTATGTCCCTCCCGGGGCTAGGGACGCGGAAATCTGTCCCAGTTACCGCACTTTTCCGTCAGATTTATTTCCCCCTCTCATTGAGCATTTCAGTGTTTCACCTCAGCTGCCCCCAGTGTGAGGCCGAGCCAAGGCCGTGGCCTGTTTTCCGCGGCACCTGAGACCATTCCCAGTGGACTGATGCATTATTCAGCTCGCGGCCCCGCCACAGGTCGCGTTCGTCCCACTTTGCTTCTCAGACTCGAGTTGTAACAAGTGTCGGTCTGCAAACCTCAACTTTATTCATGATTTATGCATTTAGGGGGTTCCTAGTTTTCTCCTCACACGATCTGCCCTTGTCGGACCCCTAGTCTGACCTGTCCTACAACCAGCGAGCAACGCCTCGGCAAGGCACACACGCTGTGAACAGGCAGGTGTCCCAGCACCAAGTGCTCCCTCCTGTTTAATTCCCGAGTGGGATGCCTTGCACGCATCCCGTGTGTACTCCCCCGCATCAAGGCACCCTGGTCCGTGTTCTACTGACTTGGAAACCCAGAGAAACCAAGTAAATTCTGATTCAGTCACATTCAGCCATAACTTTGCTTCTTTAACATCACCTCAGTGGCAACAAGGATAAAAAAATTTTTTTAAAGATTTATTTTTATTGGAAAGGCGGATATACAGAGAGGAAGATCTTCGTCCGATGATTCACTCCCCAAGTGGCCGCAAAGCCAGGAGCCAAGAATCTCTCCAGATCTCCCACATGGGTGCATGGTCCCAAGGCTTTGGGCCTTCCTCGATGGCTTTCCCAGGCCACAAGCAGGGAGCTGGATGGGAAGTGGAGCTGTCAGGATTAGAACCGGTGCCCATCTGGGATCCCAGGTGTTCAAGGTGAGGACTTTAACAACTATGCTATTGCACCAAACCCAAGGATAAATTTTAAAAGGGAGATTAGTTATGAAACTTAAAGAAACCCACTCATCTGCATGTACAAACAGGTGTAAGCTGACACACTCCCACTGGTACAGCTTCAGACCCTCCTTTTCCATCAGCCCCGGTCTCGATGGCAAGCCCCAAAGGCCTGTACTCCCAGCAAGCAACCTCGCCTCTGCCAAGGCACACTCTCCTGTCAGAAGAGGGTTTCTGTCCAGTCCTGCCAGGTAATATGCAGACACGGTGGTCAGCAGAGGAAGCACATCTCCCTACATAACTGCTCTTTCCTCACCGATCAAATTCTAACCCTCCAAACCAGGTCTGTGCAAAGCTTTCTAGGAGCTGAGAAACTACCTGCAAGATGCCACTCTCTCCTCTTGTTGATGTCAATCACAGATATTGGACCTGTCTTCCCTAAATACCCAGCATCCTTACAGCTTTCCAGGGTGTGCTACTGTCCACATGCCAGCCCTCAGCAAATATCTGCTGCTCAGTACTAGCCGAGGCATGTACTCATGTGAGCAAGCACGCACATGCATGCACACAAACTTATCTGCTGGAGCCTCCGTGGTGTATTTCCTGTTGTCTTGGGTCTCCTGATGGCTTTGCTGTGACATAGGCAAACTGACAGTCTTTGTCAACCCCATGGAGATTCCTGGGGCAGAGCTGCACCTACCACTCCCTTTCCTTTCTCTAGCCAGTATTCAGTGGAAATAAAGGTGTGCCAGTAGATCCCAGGCTTGGTATGGAGCCCAAGGGACCACCCTTCAGATGTTTACTGCACCCTGTAAAAGGGCATTGGTAGGACCTGATACCGTGCCCAATAGCTACATCCTAACCTTGCATGCCCCAGGATTCCAATGGGCACTGGGGTTTGTGTCCTGGCTGCTCCACTTCCCATCCAGTTTCTTGCTTGTGGTCTGGGAAAGCAGTGGAGGATGGCCCAAAGCAACTCCTGGCTTCAGACTGGCTCAGCTCCGGCCACTGCGGCCATTTGGGGAGTGGACCAGTGGATACATCTTTCCTTCTGTTCTCTCTGTAGATCTTGTGTCATGTTAAGTCAGTGTGGCTGTGGCCACTGGACTGTGCACGTCTCAGTGAATCACTCCATGTCTCACCTTTTCCTTCAGTCCACACTAGAAATTATCCATCTCTGGGCAGTGTTCTACTTCTGTACTGACTCAATTCTAGCATGATCTTTGAAACTTGAAACCTCATGTTTACAAGCCAGGGTGGAATATTCTGGTCCATGGCCCATTAACAAGGGAAGCAGCACAGAAACTTGCATTTTCAGATGACCCATTCTAGGGAATTTCTTGGTCATACTCAGTTGAAAGCTTTGTTGTGGGTTCAGAAGTAGACAGATATTGACAAATTGCCCTCTAGATTGTTTCTTTGAAATCAAACCAGTGCTTCTGCTGTCCATGCTTCAGGGGTATCTGGGTTAAGTTTAATTCCTTCTCCCACATCAACCTTTCTACCTCAACAGTCTCAAGAACTCCACCACGTGAAGGAATATTTGGGTCAGCACTTAACATGTTGTCTGGGGAACCTGCCTTTCATATAGGAGGGCCTAGGCTCAAGTCCCCATTCCTCTTCAGATCCTGGTTCCTGATAATGTGCAACCCGACAATGGTGCAAGTACTTGGGCCCTTGACACCTATCTGGAGCTTCTGACTCCTGGAGCTGGGCTAGCCCAGCTGTGGCTGTTGTAGGCATTGTCCCTTCATGGGAAGTCTCCCAGGTGTAGTTTATGAACTGCAAGTTCTTGGGCCCAACCAGGACCTGCTGAGTTGGCAATCTGGGGGCAGGATTTCCCTGTGATGCCTGTACACTGTAAGAGGACCACAGCCCCTGGCTTCAGATGGGCCCAGTCATGGCTGCTGTGGTCATGAGGAATGAACCAGGAAATGGAAGATTCCCTCTCTAACTCTTTCAAGTAAATTACAAAATTTTTTTAAAGAATAAAAATGAGCCCAACCTTTGAGAATAGGCTGAACATAAAAAATTCATTTACACAATTGGTTTCCTTTCATATTTTCTTTATTTGCTCAGGTGCCAAAAGTCATTTGTACTTAGTAAAACTTCTGGAATTTGAATAAGCAGAATAAAAAGATAATTGCATTTGGTATTTCAGGGCAGCAAACGTGCCTGAGGCAGGCAGTGCGAAGTTTCACATGGATATGTCCAGCTGGTCATTCCACAGGAAGGAAGCAGGGGATAGAACAAACACAACATTCCCTGGCACTGGTGTCTCGCAGGCTCTGGTCACTGGCTGAACCAGTGCCATTATGATGGACTACAGATGGTACGATACGACAGGTTGGGGTACTTTACATAATGACTAAAGCGGATTGTGTAACCCCCAGGTCTCCTCAGTAGGACCGGATTGCAGGGGGGACGGTGGCACAGTCAGCTTCGTTCAAGGTTTTGTCGATGACAGGTCTGTACTCCAGAGTGACCTTAAAAAATAAAAGTGGGAGAAAGAGGATGTAATGTGTAGGCACCTCATGTTGTCTTGAGAAAGTGTAACTCTAAAATTTGAGTTATAAGCACAGGAAAGACAAAGGTATCCATTAGGACCTTTTATGGTAGCTGGATGAGAACCTAGATGCACGGAAGACTAACTACGTGAGGTATGGTAAGTGAGGACAGTGGATTAGAGCAATTACAAGAATATGTACCAGATTCTCAATGCTTCACAGAAATGCTCACCTCACAAAGAGGAGGTAGCCATCTGAACAAACCCCACAAATACTGTCCTACTGCTAGGGTTCTCTACTTCAAAGAAAAAGAGGTTTGTGCTAACAAGTCTGGTTTTTATATACTGTTAGAAAAGTGTGCCTTGGAGATAAAGTCAATTATGACTGAATTAAAGACCTACTGGGCATCCTATACCCGGTTGTGTACAGCACATAAAGATGACTGGCTGATCTATAAGCTGTGAAAGCTTAATGGCAGAAACACATTTCCGAGCTTCAATAACCAGCAGAAATGCCACACTGCTGGACAGTGCCTAAGTAGGAAGAGCCTGGAAACCTCTGCTATGACACCCACTGGCCTCTCCATGTCCCTGCCCTCTGCAACCTTGAGCCCAGGGGAGGCCAAGGGCTGTACTGTCCCTGGGCTCTCGGTGGCTGCTTCCACATATGTGCTCCATATCTGCTTCCAGATCTGTGTCTCTGCTGGATGCCAGAAGCACCACCTCCTCTCCTCTTCCCAGGTGCAGCACCCATGCTCCCCCCAGGTCTGAGTCTGGCCACTGCTACATGGGCTGTCCTTTCCTCAAACTCCCTTGAAGCTTCCCCATGGGCAATGGCTGCCAACAGCACCTAGCACACTTCAACTTCAGCTTGGGCTGCTTTGTTCGGCTTCTCACCCAAACCCAGACTGTACAGTGTGGCTCATCTGCAGCAGCACATGCCCTTCCTACCTTCCCAGTCTTGACATCAACGTAAGAAAGTGTATGCTTCCTCCAGTGCTCGGTGAACGGCTTCTTTTGCTGCCCCTGGATGGGCTTGGAATAATCATACTCATCAATCCGCACCTGGGGTTGGAAATACCACACAACACAGACAGAATCAGGGACATGGCAAACAACATATGAGCAATTCTATGAGGCTGACCCACTGTGGGAGTGACCACAGACCAGGCCCAGCTCCACCAAGGGAGGCTGCTTTGAATTCAGAGGATCCTAGCAGGTAGACACTGAAATAGGACACCCTTAGTTTGTTCACTCCATGTTCTGGGATCTCACCTCAGCCTTTCTTATCTTTCTAACTTAAAAAAGGCCAACCCA